CACTTTAAGATCAACCACAGAATCCACATCCCTTCTCTTGCTTTCTTCTATGAAGTTTTCACTCATTTGGGTCAAATCAAACGTGGATGGATAGGGTGTGGAAACCTCTTCGGAGTAGATGCGTTTTAAAATTGTGAGATTGACGATGATATATAACGAGTCAAAATCGATAATATTTGTTACAATTGATATAATAGCTAGACATTGGACGATGTGCCAGCAATGACGCTGGCCCTCAAATGGAGTTAATTGTGAGATCTCATATATGTTGGAGAGGGGAACTAAACAAATGTGTTAATGGTGGGTGGGCCAAAACGGACAATATCTGTTAACGGTGGGCTTGAACTATTATACATTGCTATCCCCAAATGTTGCAACGGCCTCCCAAACTAGCAAGCACGTCTCGTGGCATTTGTTCCCCTAGTGCTTGTAGGGCGTGCAAGCCAGAAATGAACCAACAATTTCCCAATTCATCTGTAAGTTTCCTTCATTATCGAATCGAAATTAAAAATAATTTTCGAGTATGTTACAATGACCAACTTAAATAAAGATGTCTTGAAATCGTTGAGTTAGTCGCACGCACTTTCGTTATAATATAGAACACAAATGAAATCATAGCCGTCCAATGATTATGATTCCTCTTTGGATTGATTCCCTTCCCAAAAGCAATGGGGAATGATTATGAAGTTGTGAAATTTGAGCTTCATAAAAATGATGGTATCAGCTGTAAACGTGTCTCACAAAAGTTGCTTTAATAAAAATGCAAATAGGACCCAATTACAAACTTTGTTCCATATTAATTACACATTCTTTTTTTATTATACTAAACTCCATCGAACTCGGCTCTCTCAATCATTACGGGCCTATATACGTCGCCTCTATACCCAAAACAGATGCGTTGCGCTAACCACCACGTAACTTTCTTTCTCTTACTCATCTTCTAGTTATGCTATTACCAATCATCGATCATTTCTGTTTAGATTGTAAATTAGAATGAACATAGGTTTATAAGTAAGGAATGCTAGTGAAGTCCAAAGTAGGGCCCTAACAACCTAACTCAGCTGTTCCGGACACACTTTAATATAAAGTTTTGAGGTAATTAAGGAAATACATGGCGGATTTAACTCTTAATTATCATCAATTTAAAGCTCTCCCTTGTGTAACACTTAAACCAACCAACACTATCACCCAACGCATTCAATTTGGCTGTTTTCCCTTTTGGGTTTTGGGCGTCAGCTTTAAGAAACGGAAAGCTTTTGGCAGCAATCAATGGTGAGGGCTAAAAGAACACACCATAAACTCACACCCACAACGCAAAAGTTGAACCCAGATTCTGAGTTTGTTAGGATTATTAAATGCCCTTCTCCACCCCCTCCATTTCTATTCAAATTTCGAACCCCAATTCATTTTCTTCCCTCTTCTCTCTGCTTTTACATAGTTCTTTCAATTTCTGGCTCTTTTTCTTCACCAATGGAGATTGAGAAACGAAAATCGGAGAAGTGGGTAATGTTCTGAGGGATTGTTGAACTTGCAATTGGTGAAGGTTGAAGGTAATACTCTAAGGGGGTTCTTGAGATGAGTACGGCTCGATTCATCAAGTGTGTCACTGTTGGAGATGGGGCTGTGGGGAAGACTTGCATGCTTATCTCATACACTAGCAACACTTTCCCGACTGTAAGCGTCTCTGTTCTGTTCTTTGTCTTCTCCATTTTTAGTCGAAGATTTAAGGTTTGAGCTGAGCTGATTTGGGCACTTTGTTTTTCTGGGAATTCTTGTAGGACTATGTGCCCACGGTTTTTGATAATTTCAGTGCTAATGTAGTGGTCGATGGCAGCACCGTCAACCTGGGGCTTTGGGACACTGCTGGTGAGAAACTTTACTTGATATCCACTTTTGAATTTGGGTTTCTGTTTGTGAGGATTGTGGGTGCCTTGACCTTCACGATTTGGGCAAACTTATTATCACCCATGAGCTTTTTGGTTGATGGATGATTTGGTAGGGTAGCCCATCAACTTAAGCTTAGAGTGTTCATGTTCATATTGTCCACTTTGAGCCTATACTTTAGTGGTTTTGTTTTTTTGTTTCTCCAAAAACCTCGTGCTAATGGAGATAGTATTTTTTACTTATAACTCCATGATCATCCCCTTAATGCTTAGCCAACGTGGGACTTCCTCCCAACAATTTTCAACAGTCTTTTCCTCGAACAAATTACATCGTAAAGCCTCTTTTGATGCTTAGGGAGCCCTCGAACCGCCTCCTCTTGATCGAGGCTCGACTCTTTCTCTAGAGCCCTCGAACATAGTACATCATTTGTTCGATACTTGACTACACCTTCGAGGCTCACAACTTCTTTATTCAACACCTTCTATTGTTATGGCTAAGTTAATGGCATGGATATGATATCATGTTATAAATCACAAACCTCCACAATGGTATGATATTGTCCACTTTGAGCATAAGCTCTCATGGTTTTGTTTTTGGTTTGCCCAAAAGGCCTTATACCAATGGAGATGTAGTTCTTACTTATAAATCCATGATCAATCTCTTAATTAGTTGACATGGGACTCCTTTTCCAACCATCCTGATAGAAGTATTGATATAAGGGAACTTTAGCCTATTACTTTGAAGCTTATAAGTTCAAGGGTGAGTTGATAATAAACTTATGGAGTATCTAATCATGTTTAAAGAAAGAATATGAAGCCATTCATTGTTGGGGTTATCTGCTAAATGCAGGACAGGAAGATTACAACAGGCTGAGGCCTTTGAGCTATAGAGGTGCAGACGTGTTTCTGTTGGCCTTTTCTCTAATCAGCAAAGCTAGCTATGAAAACATCTCCAAGAAGGTTCACAACCATCATCTGCTCTCCTTTGATTATCAACTATAAGTCATTGCTATTAGAACATCAGGCTTCTTATTTGTTTCCACAGTGGATCCCGGAGCTGCGGCATTATGCCCCGACTGTCCCAATTGTTCTTGTTGGAACCAAACTTGGTAATGACAATCATGTTCAAACACATCAAAAACTGACAGAATGTTGGGTCATTTGATGTTTAAATGGCTACTTGTTTGCAGATTTACGGGACGATAAGCAGTTTCTGACTAGCCACCCCGGTGCGGTACCGATCACGACAGCGCAGGTATTGCTTTCATATTCATGGATCTGATGGGAGAGGAAGTTGTTGATGGCCTTATTTGACAGGGTGAAGAACTGAAGAAAGCAATTGGTGCAGCTGGTTACATAGAATGCAGCTCCAAAACTCAGCAGGTAACTGAAAGCAAATATTTGATCTTGAAGTAAGCTAGACAGAGTTGGCTGATGCTACTAACTCAAATCGAGCCATGGAAGTTTAACCATGTCCCGAACCCGAATCTAACACTTGTGATCAACTGATCTAACTTGCAGAATGTCAAAGCTGTGTTTGATGCTGCCATCAAAGTTGTTCTACAGCCACCGAAACCGAAGAGAAAGCGACGAAAGGCCAGAAAATGTGTGTTTCTTTAAGTTAGATTTCATTTCGTGTTTCTATTGTGAAAAACTTTTAATTTTGTGTCTATTTTGTTCTTGAATTGTCAAAAGAATCGAATTTGTTTATTAGTTTTTCATTTTTCTCTCTAATAAATTCCTGAATCAATGTTTGAATTGTAATAGTTAATTGATCTATTTAATATAAATTTAATTTTCGTGTATGATTATGACATTGAGTAAAAAAAATGTACATAAATGAACCGAAACCACATTCGAACGAAAGCGATCCTGAGAATAAAATTATTAAGAAAGACGTAAAGAAAATGAAACTTACTGTCTATACCAACAAAGTGTATTTTACTGTAATTTTTCTAGGATGCATGTGAATGAAAACAAAACATGTTGGAATGACGGGACCACCAGACATCAAATTCAAATTTAAAATCCTAGACATGGATTGTTACACTAATAGGGTCGTAAACTTTTAATTTTGTGTTTAGTAGCGTTAAAAATTGGAGGACTGAAGTATAATATATATTTCTTTTCTTAAATTTATTAATTTTAATAATTAAACCACATCAATCCAATATTAGTCACATCTATGCTGATGTGTTTCCTCTTACAATTTGAATAAAACTACGATAAAGATTAATATTTAATATTAAAATAGGAAATTAAAAATGGACGAAAATTCAAATATTAGAATTAAATTAATAAAATGTCACCATTATTACTTAATTAAACAACGAATGGACAGGCCAACATATTTTCATATGTATTTTAAAGACATTTTTATTGTATGGTTTAGTAATTAAAAAAAAAACATTAATTTAATATACCAAATTGAAGTATTTATTTTTTATAAAAAAAATATATTTAATTAACCAAATTAATTGATGGTCACCAAAGTTGACCATGTCCATTATTTACCACTTGCAAGAAATGTCTATTCAACTGTCGTGGAGATTTGATTTTTCAAAAATAAATAAAATAAAATAAACTCCGTCAAGATTTAACTATTTTCCAACGGTCGCCGTTCAAATTCTTACTGCGCAGACTCCTCCATTTTATTTTTTTAAAAAAATAATATATATATATATATATATACGAAATAATTTTATTAGTCCGAGACTTTATTATTATTTTATTTTTATTTTCTTAATTAAGGTGAAGCAAGAGGGAATTATTTTATTTAATTTATTTAGAGAAAAAAAGGGAATTAAATTTGAATTAAGGGAACCGAACAAATATTAAATAATATAGTCCAACTTGGGCGCTGCAAATGCAACCGAAGAATTGATTTACGTTCACCAAACCATATTTTTATTATATTTATTGACTTTATATTAATAATTAAGGAATATATATTTATTTATTTAAAGGAAAAAAAAAAGAAGAAAAAAAAAAGAGGAATGGGTCTAAATCTAAACTTTTACCAAAATTAAAACAGTTAAAATTTAAAATTTAAAATTATTGAGAAATTTAGAATTTAGAATTGGAAGTTTGGATCTGATTGGTGGGCAGGAAAGTTTTGAGCATGATTTTGTTTTTAGCAAATAGAAAGCCAAAGCAGAGCATTCTTGTAAGGAATCGTCTCCCCTTTCAATCTCGTCTCTCCTCCGGCAGCCTCATCCTCTCCCTCTCTCTCTCTCTCTCGCTCTCTCCCCCTCTCTCTCTTCCCTTGGAGACTGTCGGGATCTCTGTCTTTATCTATTTATTTATAAATCCAGATCCCATTTCCTAAAAATCGTCGCATAATTAAAATCTCCTCTGTTTTCGACAATTCTTGAAATGGGCGCTTACAGAGCCGATGATGATTACGATTACCTGTTCAAGGTGGTGCTGATCGGCGACTCCGGCGTCGGAAAATCCAATCTCTTGTCCCGTTTCACCCGAAACGAATTCAGCCTCGAGACCAAATCGACCATCGGTGTTGAATTCGCTACCCGTAGTATTCGCGTCGATGACAAGATCGTCAAGGCTCAGATTTGGGACACTGCCGGCCAAGAAAGGTTTTCCTAAACTTTTACTTTTTAAAAAATTATGAATTATAAATTTAGTCTCTAAACTTTTGGGTTACAATAGGTACCGAGCGATTACGAGCGCGTATTATAGGGGAGCGGTAGGAGCATTGATAGTGTACGACGTGACGCGGCACGTGACATTTGAGAATGTGGAGAGATGGCTGAAGGAGTTAAGAGGGCACACGGATCACAACATAGTGATAATGCTGGTAGGGAACAAAGCGGATTTGCGGCACCTGAGGGCAGTGTCGATGGAGGACGCGCAGGCATTTGCAGAGAGGGAGAGAACATATTTCATGGAGACATCAGCATTAGAGTCATTCAACGTCGAGAATTCCTTCACGGAGGTTCTCACGCAGACCTACAGAGTGGTGAGCAGGAAGATCCTTGACATTGGAGATGATCCCACAGTCCTGCCTAAGGGACAGACCATTGACATTGGCTCCAAGGATGATGTCTCTGCCGTTAAGAAGGCTGGCTGCTGTTCTTCATAACAATCTTCAAAATACTTAAAATCAATTCATTCCTCAAATGGGTCTCTCTTTAATTTTGGTTTTGTTTTGTTTTCTAAATTTTGTTTGGTTTTTTATTTTTTTTGTTGGGGAAATGTTAAATGATCATGTGTGTTCCTTGGAATGCATAATTTCTAGTGCTGTTTTTAGGTAGGCTGTACCTATGAATTTGATGGATGCTTAGAACAACAACAACAAAATGAATTATTGGGAGGGAAATTATTGGAGAACAAATGTACCAATACTTATAACGATTAATAATACTTTATAAATTACTTTTTCGTATTAGGTTTTATCTTTTAACGTTACTTATCCACTTACGATTTTATGGATATGCGCGTGTACCACGAAATTCTCTACAATGGAGCGCGTTTCTTGGAGAACTCAGGTGCTTTCTAATCATCTTGTTCCTCATCAATATTCTTCGGTTCTTTGTGTCAATCCATGTCTTGAATTCTCCCCTCCAAAGCTTTTTGAATGCTTCTCCTTCGACGTTAAAAAGATGTGGAACCTCATGGATGCACATAACCTTGTATCCAATTCTTAAGAACACGAAAAATGATGAGTTTTTCTGTGTCACAATTGCACTCTTGTAGAAGATATCGTGCAACACTTGTTCTAACCTAGCAAATAAGTTAGTAATGAAAAATTTGGACTTTACAGATATCGTTGACGAGGAAATACGTTGGTTACGCATCTCGAGGAAATATAGATTTGATAACTTCTGTACAAGGAATGTCGTGAAGCATGTGGAGGCCAAGGCTTGAAGACTGAAAATAGAGTTGGTCATTTGATAAGAGATAGTACACATATAAATCATCAAGATCTATTCAAGTTGCTTCTTTTACCCGAGGGATTTAGGAGGTTGGGTACTTCATTGCAGGTGAGCAAGGCACTCCTCGCTGAGTACATAGCAGCAGCTAAGAAGCCAAACAAACCATTTCAAGGGTTGGGATTAGAACACATGAATGAGGTCTGCCCTGTCATTCCTTCTAACCTTACAGCTCTTATCTTTGGGAGCTCACATTATTTGCTTCTTATTTACCGACTCTCGAACATAATCCTTTCCAGTGTTCTAAAGCTCGACTTGGGCGGAGCTTTCTCACACTATTATTCACAAACACAAACATATACATATTTTCTAGATCGAAAACAACGTGGAAACAGGTATTTCCCTGCATATTGGATTCAAAATCCAAAGAATCCCTATAGAATAAACAAGCATTCAGAATCTCCTCCTTCTGTAGAAAGGGAGTGGGGAGGGTCAAATATGCCACAGATCACCAGACAACATACCGAAGAGTATATATTAACATAAAGCAGACACATTAAACTGAAACTGACTGTAACCCTGCCACAAAAATACAGCAGCAGGCAAGACTCCAGTATGTGCCATTATAAGAATCGTGATCAGTTAGTGTTAGACATATTCTGATGATGTGGAGAAAGATTGATACTTACATTATCAGCCTTATTATTCGCAATCGTCGTACTCGTACTCTTAGCTTTAATAAGTTGTCCAAGCTCAACAGGCCCCTCTGCAGTAAGCCTTCCCATCTTCTTCTGCAGATCAGCCAGAGGATCAGCTGTCAGTTTTCCCTTTGGGCTCTTCTTTGCATCAGCATGCTTGAGTTCCAGCCTATATAATGCGAATGAATCATAATCTGTGATATCGTATTCGTACAAATGCCATTCAAGAGAGCTTGATGGCTGTGGATCCATGTAATAAGACTTCTTCTGACCACCGAACTCCTTCATCACCTGCTTCCTTGATTCATGCCAACCACGCCCATTATAATCTGGCAATGACCTTTGCTTTCGATTGCCACTCTCAAAGGCCCGTCTAGGCTTGTCGAAGTAGAGCCATTCCCTGATTGTCTCCCCCTCAAGAAATGAAATATCAAAAAGCTCTGCAAGAATGTAAAGAACCATTATAAACACACACCAATTGATCCAACTCACTTGGACCAAATAAAGAGATTATACAATGGCAATGGGTAATAACAAGAAATAAAACAACAAATGAAATAGAACCCGGAAAACAGAAAAACAGAAAAAGTTACAAAGCAACATAAAAGCTTTACCAGGAGCATTCCATGGGGATTTCCTTGTTGCAGCACCATCACATATGGGTATTCCAACTTCTTTGGTCCGTGTCTTTGCACGAAGAGCAGCAAACAATGGACCATCCTTTAAGCCAATGCCTCCAGGGCGCAATATTGGAGTCATTCCTGGAAGGCCTTCATTTATTGCAAGAACAGAATGACAACTACTGCAATAGTCCAGGCACCATTTGGATCCTTGAGCAGGTCTGAAACAATCCCAGAGAGCACATATCGGGCCCATAAAAGCAGACGGTGGGGGTGAGATAGTTGGGAGAATACCGGACTTTGTGTCCTGACTAAAGTCTCCCGCATCATATGGCCCAACAAGAACCCCATAGTCGAATTCTTGATGTGAATTCAATGCAATGCAATCCAAAGTAGACACATCATCCTTACTGACTACCGTGTTCTGCTCAAAGTTTTTATCTACTTCGAAACTTTGACAATTAGGCTGAGTAGCCATGTCAGATTTGTAAAATGAATAATTCTGTAGAACTGGAGAAGAGACTTGGCACTCTTCAAATCCTAGAAAACTATGCTGTTGGAGCTCCGGAAAACCAAAACTATCCTGGGGCAGCATTAGTTCAGCTAGTTAGCATCTATTAGAACACAAAATATATTATGCATTATATGGATGGCAGAAAACCAAATATGCTCAGACTCAATTGATAGTCATATATGTACTATGATACATTGGTAATAAGTGTAAACTTTTCAGAAATATACGTAAAATTTTCTCCTTTTTATCATTTTAGAAACATAAACCTTCAGATTGAATCAATTAATAACAGGCCGTAGTCAAATTTCTCTACAAAGCTAAGGCACAAACAACAAAATTATTAATGGACGCCATAATGACTGAAAAGGAGAGAACAAATCAGGCTGCATAATTGATAAGCCTCAAATCTCACAACGAAAATTGTTGCACAGATACTTCTATCAAAAATTAAAAAGTGAAAAAACAACTAAGCCAATAAAAATGCCAAATCTTGAAAAACTTGGGTTTATAGACATGGATCCCACAAGCATGTAGAGTACTAAAAGTTGAAACAATTTAAGAAATATATTTGATGTATTACTTTGAAGTGGAACAACATTTTAGAGTAGGGAGCATCATAAGCTGAATTAGATTGGTTGCAGGAGAGAATTTATCCAGAAAATACATGATCCAGCCACTGAAACATGGAGTTCATCGAAAAAAAAAATGAAAAAAAGGCCTACCTGAACAAAATTTGACGGTTTGCTGGCAAGAACGCAATGGAGTTCAGGTTCAGTCTTTGGTTCAGCCATTGTACTAGTTGCATCATCTTGCTCATCACAATGCTCAAGAAGACGGGCTAGTTCTTGCGAGAACGATCCAAGACTACCCTCCTAATTGAATGTATAGAAGCATTTAAATTACAAAAGTAATGGAAACTTTGAGTACTCAGTCTAATTGATGAACTTACAACAAATGAAGAGGAAGGCGATGGTTCATTAAGCTCAGCATTCCACTCCCTAAGCATTTGATGGACTTGCTCCTCCAAGACAGCAATATCAGTAGTACGACTCTCCTTTCGTGCATTTTGAAGATTAGTGAATATCCCTTGAAGATCATTAACACGGTTCTTTGCTTTTTCCTTCAAAAGCTGATGAGAAGTAGAATGACATTTACTCTTCAAACCCTTCGGCATCGATTCCTCTCTTGTCCACTACCAAGATTATCTTAGCAGCAACTAAAGAAAAAGAAATCATAAAAGAAAGTCCGTTCGGATTGCCAAACAGAATGTATCCAGAAAAAGAAAAAATCATTTGAGCCTCCGAAACGAATTCATTTTTAAGGTCGCCGTTGCATGTTCTTCCACTCCCTCTCACTCGCAGTTCAGAGAATGTGAGATTGAATTAGAAACAAGTAAATTCTAATCAATGTGCGGACCATAAAATGATCACAATGTCTCCCGAAGCTAATTTCTCCTCACCTAGGTCTATCTAAATTTTCCGACTAAAATCATGAACATATTTTTCTACAATTTTCTAATTCGTCATGATCTCTCTGAGCCATCGAATAACTATCAAACATTCAACTTCAAAATCCAGTAAGCGGACGAACAATTCAGCCCCAATTTAAGTATCAAAATCGAAAAAAAAAAACAGCAATAGATACAGAATTATTACCCGCCAAGCAGAAATTTGGGGTCGAAAATCAGGGTAAAGCTTCGAGGAGGAAGATTACCGGATTACTCTTTCATTACAGAAGCAACCAATCTCTCTTTTGCTCCTTAGTTCAGATCTTTTAGGTCAGACCAATTCTCTAAAATTCCAGGTTGACAAAATTGAGGACTCACAATTTACTTCCATTTCTAAGCCTTTTTTATTATTATTATTATTTTTTTATTCCAAACTAATTTCCAAAGCATCTCGTTTCTTCATAAGTACACCGATTGGGTTGGGTTTTCTTTACTAATCCGATAATTTTATATTTTTTTATTGTTTTAAAAAATCTTTAAATATTTACGATAATAACACATCATTCATATCCGTTACACATTAATATTCAAAATATAATATTATTGGATTGAGTTGAATTATAATCTTATTTTTTTTTTGTTCATTGAGTACAATAAAAAAAATGTAAATCCATAAATCGAATAATTTTTATTATGTATCAACTCAAATAATATATATATATATATATATATATAAAACTAATTCTAATTTTTATGATTTAGGTTGGATAAAACCAAATTGATCGTATTAGTTGGAGTCAATAGTCCAAACAATTATTAATTAATTATATACTTTTAGTTGTAAGAATTAAAAAACAAATTTGAGAAATGAATTAGCATTAGTGTTCAACTAGGAATCTCTTAAAAAAAAATATATATATATGCAAATGACTAAAATACCCTTGACCGATAATTTAAATAATCCACGTGAAAAACCTTATACATGTGCATATCTCAAGTTACAAAGAATTATTATAACTAAGGAGTAGATAATTTTTTTGGTAAAGAATCAACCTAATAGAAAATTTTGAAACGAATTACCTTGACTATTAACATCTGGGATATCATATTGTTTGAGGAACCCTAGATGCTGTGGGACTACAGAATCGTCAACAAGGGCGTTCTAGTGAGTTTGGATTTTTATCCAAGATTTGTATCATTTGACGATGCAATGTGAATCATTACAAATATATGAACTGTATGGCTACCCTAATAATAAAAGTTTCGCAATAGAATTGGAGTAGACTACCTGAGACAAACAAAAAATTGCTTTCTAAAGAGATTCGATTCGAGGTCCAATGTATGAGTAAAGAAAACTTGTTTATAAACTCGTGATTCAAATTATTTCACAAGATAATTTAATGAAAATTACTTGAATAACTCTAGCATACAAATCTAACCAAAAAAAAAAAAAAAAACTCATAACCTAACTCTAATTACCAATTATATTATTTGTATAATAGAAACTATCATGTTACATGCTAATGAATCAACATCCGAGTATACCAACTAGTCGAGACCAATAAAGATATCTTATTTATGAGACATAATAAAAGAAAACGAGTTACACCAACTAGTTGGCAGAAATTTGAAACTTAATTTTTTGGTTTCAAATATTAATATTTATAATTCAGAGTAGTATATATATATATAAATAAAGTAGTTCAATTATGATTTCAAAAAGAAAGTTGGGAGGATAGCAACTATTTTAGCTCATGTTTGGAGGTTGCTTGAACTATATATTTAAATATATATTATAGCTTTGTGGAGGATAGCAACTACCAGGCTAAGAGAAAGTTGGGACAAAATTATATATTTAAATATAGCTTTGTGGAGGTTGCTTGAACTCAGATCTGAGCTTTACCACAAAATCTAGATGGAAGAGAAGCTGGATGAGCTGCTTCAATCCCAAGCTCATGTTTGGAACCATGCTTTGAAATTTATGAACTCCATGGCTCTTAAATGTGCTGTTGAATTGGGCATACCGGATGTTATCCATAGCCACGCCCAACCCATGACCCTCTCCGATTTAGTGGCGGCGCTCCGTATTCAACCTTCAAAGGCTCAATACCTTGGCCGCCTCATGCGCCTCCTCGTTCATTCCGGCTTCTTTGATGCGGACGAGCAAGAAGACGTGAGATACAGCCTCACGCCATCCTCTCGCCTTCTCCTCCGCCACACCGACACACACTCCCACACTACTTTCCAAATCATACCCTTCTTGTATCTTGGTTTGGATAAAACTACAATTGCTTCTTTGGGAGCTTTCAGCGGTTGGCTCTGCAGCTCAGATCAAGACCATAACTCCAATTCCTTTGAAATGGCAAACGGGAAGCCCATATGGGAGTATGCTGCTCAGGAACCAAGTTTTGGCAATTTGTTTCAACAGACAATGGTTTGCGATTCTGAAATGATTGGTAAAATAGTGACGGAGAAGTGTAGCGGAGTGTTTGAAGGGTTGAAGTCATTGGTTGATGTTGGTGGTGGCACAGGCGTTATGGCCAACGCTATTGCAGAGGCGTTCCCGCACATCACTTGCACTGTATTTGATCTCCCACAAGTGGTTTCCAACCAGCAACGAACTGCAAAAAACTTGAGGTTTATTGGAGGAGACATGCTTGAAGCAAAAATTCCTCCTGCAAATGCTGTTATGCTCAAGGTAATATTCTTATATTAAGAACTTAGATATGTTTGTAACACTAAATTATTAATGGATTTTGATAATCAGTGGGTGTTACACAATTGGGATGATGAACAAAGCATTAAGATATTGAAGAAGTGTAAAGATGCAATTCCAAGCAGAGCTGAAGGTGGAAAATTGGTGATCATAGACATGGTGTTGGACAACGAAATGGAAGAGAGGGAGTCCACTGAAACCCAACTGTTGTTTGATGTATTGATGATGGTCAATCTACACGGCAAGGAGAGAAATGAGAAAGAATGGAAGAATCTGTTTATGGAAGCAGGTTTCAGTGATTACACCATAGTTTGTAAGTTGGGTTTAAGGTCACTCATTGAGGTGTACCCTTAACTCAAAAGTGTTCTTATTTACATCTAAAATATTTACTGCTTAATTATGTTATGAGTTCATAGAACTTGTAGTCTGCATTTCAAGAATAAAAAAGAGAGCTCGCTCTCTTTGTGCTTTCGGTTTCGGGCTTCTCTCAAAACTTTAAAATTAAAGACAATTCCAAGCCAGTGGAAAAGTGATTATCACAGACATGGTGTTGGATAGAAACTGGAGAGAATGGAAGAATCTGTTTATGGAAAGTGATTACACCATAGTTTCTAAGTTGGGTTTAACGTCTCTTATTTATTGAAGTGTAGCCTTAAAGTGTTTTTCTTTTTCGCATTATTACCTGAAATAATTGATGCTTAGTAATACGTAATAAACTAAAATATTTGTTATCCGTGAGTCTGAATGGATACAAATAATACCACAGTTGGTTAATGCACTGGCCGAATCGGAGTAAGACTAGCTCTCTCCCAATAAACCCATTCTTAAATCAAACACGCCAAAAACAGACAGTATTTTAAAAAAACACTTGGGTATTTGAGGAATATATGATTAGATATTTTAGAAATAAATTATCTAATTCATCTGAACGCTAAGTAGCTTAAGTATTTCTCACAAAAAGCTGTATTCAACAAGTAGAAGATTATTACACGTCTCAATGGAAATCAATAAAACTTGACATCTTGTATTACCCTCTTTGGTCCCTCTCAAGTGGTTGGAAATAAATGTACTCTTAGGAATTATATGGTAAAAAAGGTACTTTCCTTTCTTGGAAGGTCCAAGTCATTTATGATTGACAAAGGGAGAGGTCAGTGCGGTCTGTGAGGAAATTAATATCATAAATACAGCTTCCAGAGGTTGCCTGATTTCAGATCTGATCCCTAACAAAATCTAGATGGAAGAGAGGTTGGATTTGCTTCAATCCCAAGCTCATGTTCGGAACCATGCTTTGAAATTTATGAACTCCATGGCTCTTAAATGTGCTGTTGAATTGGGCATACCTTATGTTATCCATAGCCATGCTCAACCCATGACCCTCTCCGATTTAGTGGCGGCGCTCCATATTCAACCTTCAAAGGCTCAATACCTTGGCCGTCTCATGCGCCTCCTCGTTCATGGAAGCAGGTTTCAGTGATTACACCATAGTTTGTAAGTTGGGTTTAAGGTCACTTATTGAAGTGTACCCTTAATTGAAAGTGCCTTTGCTGCTTACACTCACTATGTGCGTGTGAAAGAAACCATGTATAATAAAGTTATATATTATGTGGGTTAGAAAAGTGTTGTAAAATGGCCCAATTTTTGTTGTGTTGTGTATTGAGGGTGGCTTAAAAGGTGCATTTTATGTCGTCGCTTGCCCAATCTCCCCACAAATCACTGCTCCAACCAAGGCTAGCTCCACCCATGCCCAGCCCACATGACTACTACCTTACACCTGTATAACCTTCCAATTCACCCCTCCGAGGAAACACTGCCCTTTTTAAACCCAAGGTATTGTTGTCTTCGCCACAAAGGAATAAGGGATTGGACAGTTACCGACCTATACACTCATCGGAATAGGGCTATAATCTTTTCGTAGTAGGTGCGTATAAAATCTTTTTGTGAAGTAGAAGACAGGTCAAAGCCGACAATATTTATTAGATAAGAATTTTAAAAAATATATTTAGAAATAAATGATTAGATATCTCTTAAAAATAAAAATATTAAGAATTAAATTGAAAAATACTTAAATATTTATAATTAGCTTTTAACAATAAAAATAATATAAAAAAAACAGGAAAAATTAACATGGCATACTAAGTGTAGAGATTTGAAATTGATTATTCAAAAACTTTGTTATTAATTGCATTAAGTTTTAATGCTTCTAATATATATATCTTTTAATTTGAATTAATTAAAAAAAAACACACAAAAATAAATAAAGTAGCTACCTTGTTTCCAGAAGGGCCGGTCCGAAAAATTGGGCCAAACCGTTGATGACACGTGGTAGCGGACGGTCCACTCTTTTTTTTTTTTTTTTTTTTTTTTTTTTTTTTTTTTTTTGTTNAAAAAAAAAAAAAGAAATCACCATTGGTTAAGGAAATTTCGTAAGACATTACATAAAGAATTCCTTGACCTAAATGGTTTTACTTTTTCTTATTTAAAATTATGATATTATTGAAGCTTTCATGAAATTAACTAAATAAACAAATTTTCAATGCCATTGCGTACAAAAGTGCAACTAAATAAATCCACCCTATTCAACTAAAAATATATATATGAATATCTGATATTAATTTAATTCATTTATTTATTTTTAAAATTAAAAAATGCTATTTTTAATTAATTTTGTATGAATTGGCCGAGTCGAGCATCGGAATAAGATGTGTGATTAGCTCATGGAGCATATATGAAGGGAAGAAGAAAAAAGACAAAGAAGGACACGTCATCAGAGTGGGATGACACGTCATATTGGACAAAACATGATGGGAAAGAAAGGAAAATGAGTCAGCAGTCATTGTTCCATGAGCGGCGGATTTTTTAGAATTAAATTAGCAATTTAAATATTCATACCGTGTTGATTTTGTGCGTGTAAATTAAATTGAATAAAATTTAAAAAATAATAATAATACACATTTTTTTTTTTAATAATTCGAAAGTGGACGTGGACGGTGGAAGCAACGTGGCTATGACCTTTTCCCCCCCCCTGACCCCTTAAAACATACATTTCCTTGTGTCCAGGTATCATAATATCAATGGACAAATTGTATTAATCAATTCAATTAATTATAATTTAGCTAATACGAGGTTGAGTGAAATAGTAAGTAAAGTTTAGGAACCTCCCAATAGAGCGGAGATTCTCTATTTATACCGGAATAGAGAAAGAAATAGAGAAGAGCATGGTATTATATTCTCCATTCTTATCTGTCTGTTTAATCAAATATATTTTCAACTAAAAAATTATAATGATCTTAGAATATTCCTCAAACTAGAGTAGATTTCTTCATTCTAATACAATATCTATTTAAGAGTGTGAATAGATCCGAAAATATTATTACTCAAAGAAATAATATAAAAATATTATTATAAAGTTAATGAGAAATAGAATTGATATGGAAAGTTTAATTTTCGTTTATATTCTCGATATAAACTATCAATTAATACGTATAAATAAAATAAAATATAAATTAACTAAATTAAAAGATTCTCCAATTAGGAATATATTTAGGGTTAGTGGCATAGATAGTAAAATCGTCCCACTGTGTGGAATAAAGTCGGCGAGGGGTTAAGAGGTTGAGGAAATGGTTAGAGAGGCGTGGCATAACATGAGGGGTGGAAGGGAATTAAGGATGTGAGGGTGAGCGGCGACGCAATCCAAAATCAACTTCCATTGAAACTTGGAATTCAAGCCGGTGGCGCGTACGGTGACGGAGACGCCGATGGGGATGGCGATGTGGCCGACTTTAATAAATAAAACCAATTAAAAATGTGAATAATGGAGGTCGAAGAAGAGTGGGGTAGAGGGTGCCGTCATATTGACGTCCTAACTCAACACGTATACCGTTATCCTCTTTGACACGGCGGACAAAATTTTGGGTGGCTGCCTCATGTTTCTCCGCCCACCGGAACTCCAAAATTATGAGACTGCTACAGTAAGTTTTTCGACTAAAATGAACAATATCTGTTAACAATGAATTTAGTATGCTGACTCCATATATGTTGTTGGAGGAAAGTGTTCTAGGAAATGTTCGTATATTTATAATCAAATAATACACTTTTGATGGGTATAAGACTGAAAGGATAAGTTTTAAGTTAGATGCCAAAAAAGGAGAAATTGATTAAAAAATAAAAGTAGACGTAGAGGAGGACGTCAAACATACATATAAGCAAGGAGAGGAGAGGAAATGAGGGCATAGTAAACGTCAGGGGGAGCCCACAGTCGTCAGCCTCCGCGTAGCCTTCCATCCTTGCCTAACAGCCGTTGACGCTTCAACACCCCCTTCTTAATTTCCTCTTCTTTTAAATATCCCACCACTTTCCAACGCTATATGTCCAACACAAACCAAACAAGGAAGAAAAACAAAAAGATTCCATACCAATTTCTCACCTCTCTATCTCAGGTAGCCATGCACCAAGCAATTCCTTACCGGTCATGGCAATCAATTGACACAAAACAGGGCACATTATCAATGAGATCAGCATGGGGGGGTGGATCAGCGTCTGCGACGGCGGAAGGTGGGGGATCCAGAAGCGATGTGATTGCGTCAGTATCGGAGAATGCGGCGATAGTGTTTGCTAGAAGAGGGTGCTGTATGAGCCATGTGGTGAAGCGGCTTCTTCTGGGGTTGGGTGCTAATCCGGCGGTGTACGAGGTGGAGGAAGAACAAGAATCCGGCGTCCTGAAGGAATTGGAGGCCTTCGCCAAATCTCCCAACGCCGAGATACAGTTGCCGGCGGTGTTTATTGGGGGCACCTTGTTTGGGGGTTTGGATAGAGTCATGGCTACTCATATTTCTGGGGAATTGGTTCCCATTTTGAAACAAGCCGGCGCTTTGTGGCTTTGAATTTTTATTTCTTTTTTCCTCTAATCACAGAAGTCTTCATTTTCCTCCCAATAATTTTTCTTTTTCCTTTTATATTATTTTCCCATTTGGATATTACTTTGATTCTGCCATCTCTTTACTTGTTCCAGAATGAGAGCACTCCTTTTTTTTTTCTTCTTCTTTTTCTACCTTAATAAAAAAAATCCCAAAATTTCATGCTTTATCTAAAAAAAAAGTTTTTTTTTTCTTTTTTAAGAAAATCAATAATACTCTTTGAAGAAAAAAAATGTTTTTAATACAAATTTGCACTATTTTATTTAAAAATATTCGTTCATATTTTGGATGTGTTAGATGAACACGATTCTTCATCTAAATATTTTTCAAAATATCTCGTTCTCTTTTTTTCTTTTTTTTTTTAAAGTCAATGCTTCTGCATATTAAATGTTAAATCTATTTTGAAATTTTGGAAAGTTGTTTAAAGTAACAAATTTGAAATAATCATATTCACTGTATTGTATTAAAAGAAAATAGGATTTTTTTTTTTTTTTTTTTAATGGCTACCAAATAATATTTTAATATTTTATCCATAGATGGGAAGCTGTGAAGTAAAAGCTTGGTAAAGTGCATTCAAATTTGATCGATGGTTGATTTAAAAGAATGTTAACGTAGCCGTTAGCATTTTAATTGTTCTTTAATGACGATATTTACTTTTTCTTTTTGTTCTTCTATTTCATCCTCTTTTTTTCGATACCCACTTGTTGTCGTTAGCTAATGTAAATCCAATCGTTGTCACAACCAACATCCCATGTGGTGAGTATTGGATGATGAAAGTCCCACATCGACTAATTTAGGGAATGATCATGAGTTTATTAGTGAGGAATACTAACTCCATTGGTATGAGGCATTTTGGGAAGCTCAAAGCAAAGCCATGAGAGCTTATGCTCAAAGTGGACAACACCCTGTGAAGATATATCTCTAACAAATGTATTTTAAAACTTGAAAACAACCATGTTTGGTTCTTAGACGGTTACATATATTGTCAATTGAGCATTTAACATATTCATATTCAACTGTAACCATGTTTAGATTTAATCTTTCATTTGTTCATCTAATAACAAAGAACGAGCTTGTTATTTTATATATTCGTTCCACCATATATTGGTTGTCTATTTTGTTCATCGAAAAGGTGACGTTCATGTGGTGGATGGAAAAGGCGAGCATTTGTTCCTCACATGGCATGATGGTGGGCGTTGGATGGCGACCATGGAAGTTGTGTATGCCAAATATGAACTGACATAGAGGGAGAAGAGAAAAAGGAAAAAGGAAGACGAGAAAACGAAGTAATTAAGATTTTTAAATTAAATATTTAAGTCTAAAAAATATAATATTTTAATCAGTTAAATATATATTTTTTAATATAAAATTAGTAAATTGCTGAGATATTTCTATATTTTTTAAGAAGACATTTTCTATATATATATATATATATTTTTTGTTGGGGAAATAGACTGATTGAGTATTATAATATTAAAATTTTGGATCTTTCACATTCATTGGGTATTAATTAGGGAATTTAAATTGATTATAAGAATTAAAAACATTTTAAAAAATAAAGAGATAAGGGTTGGCTAAAGTGATAATTTTTCTCAAGTTGAAGGGTAAATTTGTCATGGGATATCCTATTTATTTATTTTATTCAAATTTAATTTATTTATTTTTGTAGTAAATAGCAGCTACAAATAGGTTATTTATGTAAATATGCTGTGCCCTCTATATTAATTGGGAATAAAAGCCCAAGCAATTAGGTGGGCCCAATAATATCCAAAATAGACTTGGGCTTCAGTTTACGACAAGCCCAAAAGAATGACAATAAGGATCAGTTTGTGGGTTGGTTGGACTTAGGCGAGGTCTGTCTTTGCCAACCAAATATTGTTCGTGCAAAATCTAAACTTGTTCAGCTATACAAATCGGATGCGCATGCATGTTTAATCATATGTGACACAATCCGCTTACCTCTACTCTAAGCCAAGTCATTCGGTTTGACATTGTCTTTACTCAGAGTTAAGGTCTTTCATGCGCAATATCGAACCCAACGTCATCTAGATTCTCAATTAATATGATTCTTGTATCTTCATGTCATTTCAAATCATAGGGTGTTGTCGACCCCCGCAATTCACTCGGTTAAACCAATAATTGGGGAAGTGGGGTTGAAGATGTGGGTGGGTGTGGGCTTGTTGGATTATGGACAAAAACATGATCATACTTTTATTTATGGGACGGATTTTATTCCTTTTATTGTCTGTTTCGTCGTTGGATTGTAGCAGCTGAGGGCTTTACAGATGGGCACGTGTAATGCAGCAATCAACATGTTTCACTCACACTTGGTAACAAAGTTATTGAACCAATGGGGTTTGAATGGAGTGATTCTTACCTTTCTTTTCTCCTTTGAGAAATAATAAAGCACCACCGTCCACCACTTTGCCTTTTCAAGACTTCATATGGTTACATTTTGAGCCTTATAATATATACTAATCAAGCTCTCATGCCCAAGGCTCATTTGTACTCGTTCTCGCACTTTTGAGTGTTCATTCGATCCCCCACTTAAAGTTAGGTTGATAAAATCGAGACGTTTGGAGAAGTTTAAGAGAGATGGAAAATCCTGTGAAATCTCACATCAATTAGAGAAGAGAACAAAACATTATTTATAAGGGTGTAAAACCTTTCTAATCTTGAGAAAAAGCTTAAAAGAATAATATCTGCTAGCAGTGAGTTTGAGCTGCTACAAACAACATCATAGCTAGACATCGAATGAAGTGTTAGCAAGGATGATGAACATCGAAATGGGATGGTCACCCGACAGTATGCCAGCGAGGAAGCTGTGTACAAAAAGGGTGTGGATTGTGAGATTCATTATTAGGAGTGTGGAAACCTCTTACTATCAAACATATTTTAAAAATTGACCAAAAGCCCAAAAGGACAAAACCCAAAAAATTAATATTGGCTAGTAATGAACTTGGACACAATATCTACTCGCTATGTTACAAATACAGTAGTTATCGATCGAACGAAGAGTCCAAAAGACACAGTAGTCAAAGGGCAAGTGAGTTTCTCTTTTCTAACTAAACTCAATTGCTTCCCATCTCCAAAAGTAGGTTACTTTCGTCACTAGAAAATTCAAACTTTTAATAAGACTAACCATGATTCAAATATAGTTAAATATATGAAGTAACCTCTCAATATATATATATATATATATATATATATATATACACATCCATTACTTTTGTAGCAATGGAAAGTTAAAAAGATCATATTCAACAAGATTGAACCCAATCATGCATGTGACTATGATTCATGACTGACTATGCCTTAAAAACTTGGAAGAAAACATATATATATATATATATATATATGTATGTATATATATATATATATATATGTATGTATATGTAGTTGGTGGGTGGAATTGGATTTGACAAAATAAGAAAAATAAGAGACAATCAAATTATGGGATAATCATTTCATCCACATTTCCTCTCTCTCTCTCTCTTATATTCCTCCTCAATCTAGAGAGAGAAAGATCAAGATCATAGTCCAACCAAGCTTTACAATGATTTCAAAAATGGCGGCCGATGGATCCAACCCTTCTCTTGGCAAGAAGAAAAGAAGCCTCCCCGGAACTCCAGGTTGTAAAAAAAAATGTTAAAAGTTATAATCTTTTAGTGTAAAACTCTTAAATTTCTTGTGACACAACAGATCCGGAAGCAGAGGTCATAGCCTTGTCGCCCAAGACACTGATGGCAACAAAGAGGTTCGTTTGTGAAATATGTGGAAAAGGGTTTCAAAGAGACCAAAATCTACAGCTGCATAGGCGAGGACATAACCTTCCATGGAAGCTGAAGCAACGAAGCAACAAAGAGGCAAAGAAGAGAGTGTATGTCTGCCCTGAGACAAGCTGCGTGCATCACCATCCATCGAGAGCGCTAGGAGACCTCACGGGGATAAAGAAGCACTTTTGTAGGAAGCATGGAGAGAAGAAGTGGAACTGCGAGAAATGCTCAAAGAGTTACGCGGTGCAATCGGATTGGAAAGCACATTCCAAAACTTGTGGCACTAGAGAATACAAATGTGACTGTGGCACTCTGTTTTCAAGGTGTGTAATTTTTTGAATTCCTCAAAGATTTCAACTTTAATTTGGTGAATTCTTCATAAAGTTACCAACTTTAATGAATTTGGATGCTAATTTGGTGTAATAGGAGAGATAGCTTCATCACTCATAGGGCGTTCTGTGATGCATTGGCTGAAGAAGCTGCAAGAGTAAGCAATGCCATGGCGCAACATTGGGTGATGTACTGTGACCCTGTTTGCCAAAACCCACCACTGGGTGATTATTATAGTCACCAATTACAGGAAGTGAATCAAACCCATATGGGGACTATGTCAGCCACAGCTTTGTTGCAAAAAGCTGCTGAAATTGGGCCAATTTCAAGCTCCGGCCACTCGGTGATACTACAAGAGGGGTCTTTGTTTAATAATGGGAGTGAGTTTTGTAATGCTGGTACTACAAACCCAATTGGTGTTATTGAGAATGAGAATGAACTGTACACTGCAAAACGGCGTCGTACTCAGAGTGAAGTAGAGTGTGGAGCAACAGGAGCAGCAGGGCTGACAAGGGATTTTCTTGGAGTTAGTGCCCAAACTATTTGCCATTCCTCATCGACAATCAAGGGATGGATTTAGATGCCAAATTTCATGTCTTTTTATAATATAATGTGTAATTTGTTTTCTAGTTAGCAATAACGACTCTACGTAATAGTATGATATTGTTCACTTTGAACATGAGTTCTCGTGGCTTTACTTTGAACTTCCCTAAAAGATCTCATATCAATGGAGATTTATTTCTTACTCATAAACCTATGATCAACCCCTTAATTAGTCGAGGTGGGATTTTTCTCCTCGACCATAAATATTGAGATGATATAGGGTGAGTGAGTGTTGTTTTTGAAGGGAGCTAAAAGCTGTTTATATGATTTTTAAAGAAATGAGGAGGGAAATATGCATATTCACTTGAGTATCACAAAAGCTTGTCCCTTGTAAAATGGTGGGATCTTGTGTCTGATAAAAGGGATGGAGGGTCCCCTTTTGGACTCCATTATTGCATTCTTTTTATACCTTTGTCTTCGTCGTTATGTCAAACATGGATCCAACGAGCTAAAAACTATTGAAAAAGTTGCAACATCAGTATTATTGTATTGTTCTTTCATTCGATCGATGTATGATAGAAAAACTATTTTTACAACGTATTGAAAAGAAGGTTGAATCAAACATAAATATGAATTCATTATCATTGTTTTAAAGATGTTTACAAGGTTATAGTAGCGAAATTTGAATAAAAGTTGGGTTAAGATTTCAAGAACGGAGAAAAGAAGTCTATATCTTTTGGTAAAAGAAAAAAGAAAAAAGTAAAAGTGGTATGAAAAAAGAGATGAAGGTTTGAAATTGGTATGTCAAATCCATGGGAGGCTTTAACATTTTTCAAGACATCATTTAGACCAAACTTGAATGCTTTCGGGATTGGAAATTTTAAGATAGCTTTGGCGTTCAATAAAGGAAGGGGTGAAGAAGGGGTCATCCCGTAATGATACCATAGTTTGACATCTAAAAAGATTGCCCCAAACCCCAACTCTTTTCATTTTCTTCTGTATTGATTTTAGAGCCAACTTTTGCTTCAAAACTTCCCTTTCATGTAATTCATTCCCATCGTCTATTTTTTCACTTTTTTTTTCGTTTCTTCCTTCAAAGTATTAAAACGTGTTTGTAAGTAGAGGTTTTCATACTTTTATAAAGGATGTTTGGCTGACATTCATTCACTTCTCTGATCAATGTGGACCCCCAATTCACTCCTTTCGGTTCCACCCCTTTCGACCCAACATCCTTGTTGACACATCGCCTCCTTACACATTATCTTGTGTCCACCTTCTTTGGGTCTGAGAGGGAGGGAGAGATGGAGAGATGGTCCAAATTTATTCATACAGTAGTTAACCATATATACCCATATATATATATATATATTCATGAAATAAGAGAGGAACCAGCATGGAATCCAAATTGGGGAATCAGGGGGTGGGAATTGGTAGGCGATCTATTTTGATCACAAGACTCAAAAGATATGAAAGAAGGGTTATAGAAATCAACAAGTGGGTTAGGGTTAGGGTTAGGGTTAGGGTTATTGAGAGAAATGGATTCCCTTTGCAGTGAGTTCCCACATTGGCGTGGCTGTGTTTGGTAAAAAACCTTAGACACCACAATCTCCCCATCTTTCTCCTCCTCGCACCTCCCCAAATGGTATTGGTGCATTATCCAGTTCGTCTTCTCCGCCTTCTTTTGCTTCCCATAATTGGTGTACAGCACCAATATCTTCTTGTAACCCTTCACTCTCCCCTCCACCTGAACCGCCCTCGTCTTCCCCGTCTTGTGCCACCGCGTCTCCCCCTCCCCCTCCGCCTCCTCTGCCTCAACTTTTCTTCTTTTTCTTGTTCCTGTTGTGTACGCCTTCGATGGCCGGTGGAAGAAGTGCCGGACTAGACCATCTTTTCTTACTCCTGCAATTCATCAACATGCCACCCAACTTAGCTCAAGGGCTAGTTTTCATGCAAAACACTGTGAAAACAAAAATTAATCTCAATCATTCATCAACAATTTCAACCAATTTCAACAGACTCATACACTAAAAAAAAAATTCAATCTTTTCATATTTTAAATAATAAATATCCGATTTACCTTTCATATTTTCAATTTTATTTTATTTTTTTAATTTTATTTGGGTGAAGTTGAACCTTTTAAAATGTTTTTTAAAAAGAGACAATATTGAAACCACCTCCTCACATTATTTCTTTAGTATGTATATATATATATATATAGGAATTGAAACTTTAGTACTCAAGCTTTAAGAGCTTAAATTTTAACACCATTTTTGAGTTGATAATTTTTTTTTTTGTCGTCTAAACCTTAAAATATTAAGAAATCCACTTTGTTGCCATTACTTTTGTTGTTATCATAATTTTTATTAATAATTTTGAATGATTTGATTTTTAAGAAATACAAATTAAAATAAATATGAAGATGAGAAGGAATTGAAATTGACCAGGCAGTTTGTGGGGATGCGTATAGCAAATCCCTTGCTCCCATTGAATTGTGGGTATGAACTCATCGATCAAAGGATGAAGATTGTGAGCATCACCCCCAACAACTTTTCCCTCTAAATGTTGAAGAAGCTCTTGATCCGTGGGGTCAAATTTCACCCCCGCAGGCAGACCCGGTAATGAACCAATCCCACCCTATTCAAATCATCATCACCGTATCATTCCCCATTAAACAATCTAACAATAACAAGAACAAGAACAAAAACAAAACCTTGAGTCGGCTTTTGATTTGGTGGCCGCAAGAAGGACAAGAAGAGCTCGAATTCACACTAGTTTCCCGACCGGTATCATTAATTTTGTCGACGAACTGTGCCATTTGATCCCCCTTGACGTCCTCAGCTCTGCTCTCAGCTTGAAGGCACAGAAATGGGGGGTTAAGTAAGAAAAATGAATTTAATAAAGGATAAAGAAAAAGGGTTTCTTTGATCTCAAGTTTGGTGGTGTGAGGAGTTTATGTGCAAAAGAAGAGACTTTGATGAGAATAAATGCACTTCTGGGGTGACCCTTTTTTTGTTTCTTTTTGGAACGGAGGAAAGGTGGGTTATTTCATTCGTTACATGTTTTCAACCCACCACTAGTAGATATTGTTATCTTTGGATTTTCCTTTTAAAACACGTATGTCTTCTAGAGAGAGGTTTTCACACTCTTATAAACAATGTTTTGTTCTCCTCTATAATCGATAACCGACGTGGGATGTCAGACAATTAGTCGAAGAAAGCATTGAGTGGAGAGGAGGCTACCTAATCTAAGAGAGAGAGAGAGAGAGAGAGAGAGAGAGATAAAGGGTTGTTTTTGAGGTGGGATGTCAGTGTGGAGTGTTGATAAAGGATGAGTTTTTATGGAAATAGAGAAAGAAGAAGAATGAAGAGAGTATTTGGGAAGTGCTTGGGGTGATTCTACACTCCTTGGCCTCCCAACCAACTCTCCACCACCATCGCATACCCAAAAGAACCAACAACAACCAACACGACAGTATTTGGAAGGAACCAACAAACTCTGAACTTGCTTCCTCAGCTACTCTACTGCTTTTTACACATTATTTTAAACCCTAATATGCTGTTCTTTCGTGTTTCTCAACTATGTTTTTTCTTTATGGATGCTTCTCTATCCCATTTCCAAAATATATATGCTTCTTGTGAATGTTTGATTAATCCACCACACCTAAATAGTGTGAAAGTTATCTTATTTATAGGTGGCAAGAACGGGATAGGGAAGACTTCCACGTCTTCGTTCCCTCCCCATGAACATCTCTACCTAAAATGATTGTCTTCCGTCTCAACTTTTACCAACATTTAAAGTTTTGGAGAAAACGTTAAGAATAATGTTGCGAAGATGGACGACATATGGTCTGTAAAAAAAAATAAAGGTATGGTCACTTACCTTACAAGAAATCCATCTCAATAAAGTGATTGGTAATTAGCGATTAGCAATTAGTTAGGATTATTTTATATATTAAAAATACAAAATTTATAGGTATTTTTATTAAAATTTGGACCAAAAATAACAAAAATGGAAGAAGTTGAAACAGATCCCTAACCATTGGATGGATTAGTGATCAAAACAACGGTGATTAGAGCTATTAATTCAACTTTGGTTGTTCTGAACTGTTTCTGTAATTCCTTCCCATTAAACAAAAACAACAAAATTCATCTTAATTTGAAATCCTTACAGCTTTTCGGTTCATATTTTCCACAATCAAATTGTTCATAAATATCTTACCAACAAGGCCAAGAACAAGAACAAGAAGAAGAAGAACAAGCACAAAAAAATAGAGTAATCGTGAAAATGGAAGGGGAAATGGGCAGCCGAATTCAGCAGGTACTGGCCGCGGAGGAGCTGCTGCGAGAGATCCAGCAGCCATTAATGGAAAACTCCCCAACAATGGCTTCAAAGCCAACAAAAACACCAACCCAAAAAGCCATTAGAAAGACCTTCAAAGGCACAGCCCACTTAGCCAACCTCCTCCCCACAGGCACCGTCCTCGGCTTCCAAATTTTGTCCCCAATTTTCACGCACCAAGGCCACTGCCTCACCAGTGTCAGCCAAACCGCCACCCTCGCCCTCGTCTTGCTCTGCGCCTTGTCCTGTTTTTTCCTCATCTTCACCGACAGTTTCAGGGACAAACGTGGCAAAGTCCGATATGGGGTCGCCACATTTCATGGCTTGTGGGTTATTGATGGCTCAATCACCCTTCCCAAAGAAGAGGCTGCTCAATACAGGCTTCGCTTCATCGATTTCTTTCATGCCATCGCTTCTCTCTTGGTGTTCATAGCTGTTGCTCTGTTCGATCAAAATGTTGTCAACTGTTTGTATCCAACACCGTCCGATGAAACAAGGGAGCTCTTGGTTGTGTTGCCTGTCGCCGTTGGTGTCTTCTGCAGCTTGTTGTTTATTGTTTTCCCCACCAAACGACATGGCGTTGGCTTTCCCCTCTCCCGTGAATAGCAACCCAAATGCCCTTTCAATCAGTATTCTACACTCATGATTGTTCTTATTTGATTCAATACTCGACACACATTTGTTGTACTAACCGTGGTACCACAATCTTCAATACTCTGATACCATTTGTTGTATCCTAATTCCACACAAAAAAAAAATGATATAATACCCAATTGATGTAGCACAACCAAAACCCAATTGTTACAACCAAAGCAGAATCAATATCAATCCCATTCCTACACCCACAAGCAAAAAAAAATTAAACAAACAAACAGAAATTTACGTATTTGGAGAGAACAAATTCCTCTACATCCTCATCATAATTACTATAACGAAAATGTTTAAAAGTGTATTTCTCACCCTCTCACTCACTCACCCGTGTAATAATAACACCCGAGTACTAATAAGAAACCAACACTACTAAAATAAAAAAGATCCAATTTTCACGAAAAACCCCTCATTAGCTCAAGCCTAGCCCAAGAGCTTCCTAATGCCAGCCTTCTGCTCGGCGGTGAGTCTGGTGGGAAATTTGATATCGAAATTGATTCTCAAATTCCCTTTCTTGGTGGGGTCTTTTTGAAGGGGCATTCCTTCTGAGGGTATCACTTCCTCGTAATTTGGAGTGATTACATTAGTGATCGGGAAACTCAGATGTCGGCCGTCCAACGTTGTAAGATGGACAGTGTACCCTGTCAACGCTTCCGCCAGAGATATCTTTTGAGTGGCAATTAAATCGTTCCCATCGCGAGTGAACACGCTGTGAGGCTTCTCATCAATCAAAAAAACAAGATCTGATGGTATAATGTCAGGCTCCTCGTTTCCCTTCTCTGGGAATGTGATCTTTGTTCCCTTTTTCCATCCGGGCTTTATGTTGATCGTCAAGATCTCCTCTGTTTTCGTTCCTTTCCTGATTCAGTGAAGAAATGGTTGGTTTTTGAAGAGTTTAAATCAAAAATAAAATCATGGGGTTCCCTTTTTATGCTTTGCTTACCCACGAACGTCGATAACTTGCCTAGAAATTTTCATCTTCTTAGTTGTTCCTTTGTATAACTCCTCGAGGCTACATGGTAGTTGTCTTTCGATTGGGGGCGCTTTACGAGAAGCGTGTCGGGACATGGAACCGCTTATGCCACCGCCACCGCCTCCGCCGTCGAAGTCGCTACTGCCGAAGGATGCGAAAACATCATCACCGAATAAACTTGATGAGAATCTTTGTCCTCTTCCACCCATGCCGCCAAATGGGCTTGAAAATCCGAAGAATTCAGAGAAAATATCGTTTGCGTTTCGGGGATTGAACCGAAACGTTGTTGGTCCATCTCCGGTGGAGAAGAAGGTGGCTCCGCCTGGACCTCCAGCGTCCGGAGGTGGCACCTGACCCTTTAGGCCATCTTCACCGTACTGATCATAGATTGCCCTTTTCTGGGGGTCACTCAGAACCTAGAAAAAACAGAGGAAAACAGAGAAAAACAGAGCAAAACAGAGGCACGAAGATCATTTCCTTGAACAATAGCAACTAAACAGAATGGAAAAGAGAAATGAAAAGAAACCCTATGAAATTTTTGATTGAAATCATTCCTCGATCATTCTCATACATAAGGGAAAACAAAAAGAGGGTTATTTATGAATACCTCATAAGCTTCAGAAATTTGCTTAAATTTGGCCTCAGCTTCTCTCTTGTTGTTAGGGTTCTTATCGGGATGCCATTTCATGGCAAGTTTTCTATAGGCCTTCTTCAAATCATCGTCCGTAGCATTTTTATCGACCTGCAAAATTCGATAGTAATCAACACCCATCTGCTCCCCGAGAGCTTTTTGGTTGATTTTGCAAGAACAAATTAGGAGTAGAGGCAATGAGGATAACGATGCAATGGCGGTGTATATTTGTGAAAGTCTTCAGTCTATGATGGTTTGAGAAAGCAGGGGAAAGTTCGAGAAATTACGAACACTTGTCGCTGTCGCAAGAACAGTGTATGCTTTTTCTTTTGTTTCTTACTTATTCCTCTCCCTTTGTTGCAAATTTTGGATTAACAAAGTCGATGCCATTTAACAATGATATGAAATCTATGAACGTCAAGTAATTATTTGTGAAACAAATTTTACATTTAATTAATTAAAACACATATGATCGATGAACAAATGGGCTTTGGAAATAGCTGGTGTGGCATTCTATGTCAAGACAATGGGCTTTGGAAAGGGCGAAGTGCCCATTGTGGTTCGATGGATGGGCTTCGACGTGGGCTTCATTGGGCGTTTGGCCCAAACTAGTTTTTCTGGTGCAGTGAGCCTAAAGCCATGCTTGCTGCATTCCCAATTTTGAAACAGTGCAGTCCAGCTCATTGTCCCAATGGAGACCAACTAGGTGGCAACCCTCAACTAGCTCCCATCCGACCATGTGAAAATTGAGACAGATAAGTGTTATGATACGTGAATCATCCGACACACCAAGAAGAGTGTGCATTAAAGTCAAGTTAAGACATAAGCAAGGTTGGAAAGAACAAGGAGATACGAGTGTCGAAGAGGATTTGGTATGGCATTAGACCATAACCTCAAATGTCGAGGTTTTGACATGTAGCTTTGGAGTTAAGTCTGTCTCTATAAAAAACGAAAGCTCGCCAAAATTAGCGTCAGAACACCAAACGAACGCTCTACGAGTTCGTATGACCGCTCGCAAAATCACATGTTCTCTAGAAAGATTAGAAAGACCTCACATTGCACTATAGGAGGAGGCATGGTGTCAACTTTTCACTATCTATTGATCATGTGCTCAAAGCGAGCTACCCTATAACACATACATGTGGGCGAGTGTCTCGGACGACTTCTTTTGAAATGAATCTTTCAAGGATAGTGTCGAACACCGCGAATATGATACTTTCACACGTACTCCGATTCTAACGTCTAATTAGAAGCTCGTAGAAATTATTAATAAAACAAAACTTATATATATGGTTGACTATAATTACACTCTTAATCTTTTAATTAAATCTATTAATTGTTGTCAAAATTTTAAATCTTTATGTATATATATTTGTTGGAAGTTTGTGTAAATTGAAACAAATAACTTCCCACCACAAAAACCCTTCAAAAAGTTGTTTCTATGATAGACAAAAACCTCTTCTCCACACATTCATTTACATGCAATGCTTTAATTGGCCTTATTCTTCAAAATATCATTTCTTTTATATTTGCCCATATCCATCCATGACCCCCTCCCCCCGAGTTAATAACAGCTCGGTCGTAGTTGGTATGCAAAATTAGAAGGCATACGTTACACAACTTACAACATCATTACTCATGCACGGTCGATTGATTATGTAAGAGTTAGAGCTATCCGATCTTACTTAGAAAGTTCGAAAATTGAATTGGAAAAGGTGAGGCAAGAGGAAAGGAATGAAATTATTGAGATAAATGGATGATGATGAAGGTGAAATCTTGGATTGATTTAAAGTGGTTGCATCCTTGAGGGGACCCCAAAAAATGAGAAAGGCACAACTCATAATGAAAGCCAAACCTATCTTTACAACATACATAATCACCAACAACAATAATTATTGCGGGGTTTGAGGACCCATTTTTCGAACGACCCGATCATCCAAAGAGATTATCACATTAGTTGGGGCGGAGAATGAAACACCATTTATAAGGGTGTGAAAATTTTTCTCCAACACACACGTTTTAAAAAGCCTTGAGTGAAAACTCAAAGAAAACAATATCTGCTAGTAGTGAGCTTGAGCCGTTATAGAGATATTCATGTGTGACATCCAAGTAAATGAGAGGTACATAAATGAATCGAGACAATATCCGAATGAGAACGATCATGATAATAGAATGACTAGAAAAGACACAAACAAAATGAAAGTTGCTACCTATCAATGTGCACATTTCTTTTCAGTGGCTTAATCATATGAGCTTCATGGTTAAATGTATTTTATTTGAAACAATTTTATGTTGAACGACCTTTGGAGTATTTTCTTAGAATACATGTGAGTGATGATAAAACATGCTGGAAAGACTTGTTTTGGTCTATGAAGATAATCTTCACTCTTAAGAAATTTGAAACGTAAGTAACATGAGCACGTCGTAGAGAATAGAGGAGAATGTTGGAGCTATCAAGTGTCGAATCTAGATTCTTAATTTGAACATGGTCGTTACATCATGACATGTAAGATATTTTATAGTACAACAAATTGAAGTCCCATTAAGAATAAGTTGACCATGTCATTTCAATCATTTAATTTATAAAACATTATAGATAAGAGTAATCTGAAAATTGTCCACTCAAATAAGGAATTTTAAGATACCCTTATCTCTGCAAATTCATTAATTCCATTCATCAAACATAGTACCCATTGGGTATTATTCTTGTGACTCAAAAATCTATGTTATTTTAGCATAAAATAAGGTTGTTATGTTTCTTTACTCAGTTAGTGTAAAAAAAAAAACAGCTCATAAATGTTTAGGGTTTTGAAAAATAGGCCTTTTTTAGACGCATTGATGAGAATACGATGTCCTCACTCATTAAATACAATAAAAATAAATATTTATCAACTTTTTATTTTTACTGCCTGAATTTTTGTCCCACCTTTTGAAGTTATTGCAATTGTACTCGATTCAATTAATTATAAAAACTAAATAAATAAATAGATAGATAGCTTATTCAAGAAAGAAAAAAAAAACGGGTTGATTTTTAAAACAACCATGCTTTTTTGGAAATCATGAAATTCATTGTGCATCTGAGCTAGAATCACGGTCTGAGTTCATCAAAATTCATGAATTTCGACTAAGATTCAAAAATTTCAATCAGGATTCATGCATCCTAGCTAGAATTATTGTCGGAGTTAACTGAAATTCATGAGTTTTTCAATCGGGATTCATGCATCATATCTAGAATCACTAAAGTTCATCAGTAGTTTCAACTGAGATTGCCAAATTTCAACATTCATATAAATCTCAATTATTCATATATGATTGATTGAACATCAAATTCTTAGATTTGATTCAAAAGTGTAATGGTTGATAACAATGCAAAAGCTTCCTTTAGAGGGGAAAGAAAATGGGCAGCAGCAGACTGTGACATCAACTGCTCCATTGCCAAAAGCTTTACCCATATTTACTTTCCATTTGTATAGTTGCATTCAAAAGTTTCAACCATTTCAAGATTCCTTTTTTTTTTTGAAGTATGTGTTTAGGGTTTATGTTAGTATTGTTGAAGATGATGAAGATGAACATTAATTTGTTGATATGGGTTTGGGCACATGATGCCATCGCTTTCTTGTTTTACTGTACAACAGATATAAACATTATATGATTCTATACCAATCAACTTCCCGTTCCAATCCTCTCTGACATACTTTCTCTCTCTTCCCTCTCCTTAATTCAAAGCTTTTTGGCTATACAATTATTTAGTTCACGAGCAAGCACTTCCTCCAAGAAATTAAAATTTCAAAAAAAGGTCATCCACAAGCGAGCCTTGCAACCCCAAAATAAATTTCAAAAATGAAATTGTTGTAGCAGCCTCGAACCACAACAAAGAGGTTCAAACAAAATCTCTGACGCTGCTGGAGATCTAAAAAACCTCAAGTTGTGGCCAACACCCAAGCCGTGTTCTTCGTCTTCTTCTTCTTCTAAAAATACCCTTTTCTTTGATTCTTGTAATTCTCACGAATTATAAGAAAAAGAAACGATTTTTATTACTCTTTGCATCGATTAAAGCAATACCCAATTTGGGGTTTTGTGAATTTTGTGCAAAGGTTGGGACTTTAGGGCAAGTTTTTGTAATGCTTGCGGTGTCACCGGTTAGGAGTGGCAACAAAGATGAAGAACAAGGAGAAGTGGAGAGCTTTTCGATTGGTGGTGATGATTTTCCCGGCTTTGATGATGATACTAATTTGCTCGACAGCATCAATTTTGATGATTTCTTTGTGGGAATCAACGATGGAGATGTGTTGCCTGATTTGGAGATGGACCCTGAAATCCTTGCTGAATTCTCCGTTAGTGGCAGTGAGGAATCGGAGGTCAATGCATCGGTGAGTTTAGAAAAATTCGAGAAGGATTTGGATTCGAGATCTTGTGCTCAAGTGGATCAAGAGATTGTGAGTAAAAGAGATGAATCGGCCACGCCAAGAAATATTATTGAAGTCAACGCTTTGGTGAAACATGGTGACAAGATTAAGAACCGGAAGTCTTCTTCTCAATCCAAAAACTCTCAAGGGAAGAGGAAAGTTAAGGTAAGTAATATTCTAAGTTATGGGATTGTTTTTTTTTGTTGTTTTTTTCAATTGGGTTTTAATGGGTTTTGGCTAAAGTCAAAGAAAATGCAAGAAAGATGCAAACTTTGATGGATTTGTGCGTTGTTTTTGGTTGTGGAAGTGCAGGTGGATTGGACGCCGGAGCTTCACCGGCGGTTTGTGCAAGCGGTGGAGCAGCTGGGAGTTGATAAGGCGGTGCCTTCTCGAATATTGGAGCTTATGGGAATTGAGTGTCTCACTCGCCATAACGTTGCTAGCCATCTTCAAGTTAGTGACATGAATCTATTCATCTTTTTTTCTTACTAGCTCTGAGTTGTAATCTTTAGTCTTATTTGTGAAACCTTGCAAAGATACTAAAAGTATTTGTAATTTTTTTTTTATAGAAGTATAGGTCGCATCGGAAACATTTGCTGGCACGTGAAGCGGAGGCGGCGAGTTGGAGCCAAAGGCGGCAGATATATAGCTCGGCCTCGGGCGGTAACGCCGGGAAGAGAGAGCTCAGCCCTTGGAGTGCACCCACCATGGGATTTCCGCCCATGACGCCCATGCATCCTCATTTTAGGCCTTTACATGTGTGGGGTCATCCCACGGTGGATCAATCTCTAATGCACGTATGGCCAAAGCATCTCCCACATTCACCATCTCCGCCACCTCCACCGACCACCCCGCCATCTTCATGGCCACACGCCGCCGCTCCTCCTCCGCCCCCTGACTGGCACCACCACCACCAACGGGTATAAGGAGGGAAAATACCTCGTTTTTTCTATGTTTTTTTGTTGTTCTTGTTCTTAAATTTCTCTCACTCACGAGTTGTACAAACTCTTTTTTTTTTTTGTTTTGTTTGGTGTTGTGTGTAGGTTCCAAACGCCTTAACCCCAAGAACGCCATGCTTCCCACAGCCAATTCCGACCACGGTAATTTATCTATGTCTTCCTGACTCTTGTTCTTGGAGCTTTTCTACCTGTCTCTTTCCATTTACAACTTTGATTCCATTTCCATCATAAATCGAATACGAATATCATAGCTTCATAAATTTTCGTTGGTTTAATTTTCGATTATATCATCAACCTAATAGGTTAAAAGGTTTGAATTTTCATACGCCCACATACAAATTGTATTGAAGAGTTAGTACCTATGTCGGTGAAGATGTGAGATCCCACATCGATTAGGGAGTAGAACAAACTATTCTTTAGAACTGTGAGATCTCACATCAGTTGGAGAGAAAACTAAACATCTCTAAGGGTGTGGAAACTTTTCACTAACAGACCGATTTTAAAAACCTTAAGGGGAAGCTCGAAAGAAAAGCCCAAAGGGCTTGGACTATTACAATATGGGTGTGGAAACCTCTCTTAAGATCTCACGTCGGTTGGAGAGAAGAACAAAACATGTTATAATAAACATGTAGAAAACTTTTCCCTAGAAGACGTGTTTTAGAAAAGACAATATCGTGGGCCTGAGCTCTTACAATAAGGGTGTGAAAACCTCTTCACCCGTTTTAAAAATCATGAGAAATAATATATCTACGAGTGTAGGCTTAGACAATTAGAGAATGTCTTTTAGAGAAATGGCAGTAGAAAAAAACATAATGATTATATTTTGGGAGCAGAGATTTGGTGGGGCAGCGTTCTCGGTAATTACACCGCCACATCCGATGTACAAAGTAGAGCCCACGACCACCGTCGGCCGTTCTCCCACCCACCTTCCTCTGGACTCTTATCCAGTAAGATCTCTATCCCTATCCCGTTTTGCATGCAAATACTAACAATTCTATACCCAATAATTTTGATTTCATTTAAATTAAAATTGTGCAGTCCAAAGAGAGCATAGACTCAGCTCTTGGGGACGCTTTAACCAAGCCATGGCTGCCACTTCCTCTCGGCCTAAAGCCTCCATCGTTGGACAGTGTCAAAGTCGAGCTCCAACGACAAGGCATTCCTAAAATACCGCCCACCTGTGCTTGACCATCATCCCCGCCAGCCTTAATTTGACGACATTTCTCTCGTGCTGCACTTTTCGATCCATCGATGAACTAAAATGCTGCTACCGCCACTGCTGTTACTACTTCTCTTGTTGTTTTTGTAAGAGGGTTATTGGTTCTAATCCATATCTCCTTTGGAGCTTCTTGTATTAACCCACCAAGAGTAACACTTTGTCGTAATAATTATAACACTAAAAACCAATAAAATGTTATCAGACATACAATAATATGATATTGTTTATTTTGAGCATAAACTGTCATGTCATTAGAAATAGTGTTCTTTGTTGGATGATGAAAGTCCCACATCGGTTAATTTAGGGAATGGTCATGGGTTTATAATCTAAGAATACACTCTCCATTGGTATGAGGCCTTTTGGGGAAGCCCAAAGCAAAGCCATGAGAGCTTATACTTAAAGTGGACAATATCATACCATTGTGGAGAGTCATATTCAACCTATCATGGTATCAGAGCCATACCCTAAACTTAGCCGTGCCAATAGATTGGCAAATCCTCAAATGTCGAACAAAGAACTCCAAAGGAGTCGAGCCTCGATTAAGGGGAGGCGTGCTTTGTTCGAGGGGAGGTGTTGGATGATGAAAGTCCCACATCGGTTAATTTAGGGATGGTCATGGGTTTAACACTCTCCATTGGTATGAGGCCTTTTCGGGAAGCCCAAAGCAAAGCCATGAGAGCTTATGCTCAAAGTGGACAATATCATACATGAGAGCTTATGCTCAAAGTGGACAATATCATACCATTGTGGAGAGTCATGTTCGTCTAACATTCTTTACTTATAAATTCATGATTTTTTTTCTTAATTCACTGATGTGAGACTATTTGCCTCAATAATCCTAGACACCTTTGAACATTATTAGGACTTAGCAGTAGGGCTCGAGACTGATGGGAAGTCACCATTACATAGATGAAAGGAAGCGTTTTTTTAAGGCTTAAAAGAACAAATTTGTGAAGATTAAGGATTTGAATGTGTAGTTGTTAATGTAGTAAAATAATTAATGAAGATGGAGAAGAATATAAATACTAAACTTAGCAATCATAGAATAATGATAATGTTATTATTGAAGTTTGTATAAAGTGCAAATATAAAAGGCATTAAATTAAAATGAGAAAAATAAAAAAAATAAATGGACATTCATTAAAGGCATTGAAAATGGCAGAGAGAGCAAAGAAAGAGACACACACCACTTGTCATTGTTTTGTAGCTTTTAGCAACTCTCACACTAAACTCAGATTGCTCCCCCATGGGCCCCACTCCCATCATATCTTCATCTTCATTCTTTTTATTTTTGCACTCTCACCCCCCAAACCTTTCCTATTTCCTATTTTCCCTATTTCCCAGGGGTGTCAGTGCAAAAATAGAGTTTATTTATTTATTTTATTTTTTTTAATTACCCAGATGTCCATTTTAGGCACGGAGATTCGTAATCTTAACTCCACCTTGAATTTTTACTTAAAAATAAATTAATAAATTATTTGATATATATATATATATATATATATATATATATATATATATATATATATATATATATGCAAATTTGTTTTTGGGACAATATTTGTCAGCCACAAGATGTTGGGCATGGGGCGAGACAGTGCATGGAATGGAAGTAGTGTAAAATACAAAATTTGATAGCATGAATAGTCGACACGTATCATATGGAACAAAAAATAGTCGCAATCGCTTTACGTGTACATTATATCCTAAACTTTGGAAAAAAAAAAAATTAAATTATAAGGTCAAATTATCAATTTTTTAAAAATTTTATGAATTTACTAACATTTTATTAGAAACTTAAATTATATCTAATACATCAATTAGTTATAAAAAAAAAAAGTATTATTTTGTTTGGCATAAAATAAGAAATTTATTAAAGAATTAAAGAATTTAATATTATATTTACCACTGTTGAGTTCCCTGGAGACCAGAGCAGTGTACAGAACACATAATTCAACCATTATCTCTTCCAAATATAGTGATGGGTCCTCAATCAACTTTTTATTTCCACCTTCTAATGTTTTTGTCCTTTGTATCAACAATTCATCTATCTCTTTCTTCATCAGCTTTCGCTTCATTTCTCTCACAATAAGGCGTGTTCGATTCAGAACAAATTTAAAAGATACCGTAAAAATAAATCTTAAAAAAGTAAAATAAAGAAGATTTGAATTTCTGATCTTAAAAAAAGATAATATGTACCTGATATCGTTGCATTACGAAGACTTTGACCCGACGTAAAAGTGGGGGCAGCCCTAGTGGTCGTCTCTTTGACTGTGGGGGACAACCTTCAGCTGCCGCTATCAGTTTAATTAAATGGGTAGCAACCAAACCATTTTTCATTTATTGAAGTGTTTTCCAATGCCTCTACGCCTCAAACTAATTCCCCTTGGAGATTTAGATATTATGTTGTCTATATCATGGGCTTGATATGAATCTGGAAATATGGGGCTAACAATTGAGGCCTCCAAGTTGACCTTCTCCAATTACATCAAATTACTTCACCTTAATGCAATCAAATTTGTAATTGGGCTTTGAAATTTTCCTTTCAGCTACCTCCTACAACTAAAAAGAACAATAATAAAATAAAAATGTAGCTATGATAATAAGATGAATATTAGAGATAACCACAGGGAATCCTAAAAGTACTTTCCGTTGATAATAGAATCGTACTCTTCATCTTTCTGAAGATAGTTACGACAAAATGCCTACTTGATTCTTAATAATACTGAGTACAGACTGCAATTTATAGTTATTCTTTCATTAAACCAACTACAAAGTTAGGTTAGTTTTAACATGCATAAGTAACGAACTTGTCCCTCTTATCATCACTCAATTTGTTCTGAACTAATCAACACCATTGTAAATGATACCTCACATTATAATATGGCAATGACACTAGGGTTAGTGTCGCTGTTTTCGGTCATCGTCGTCCTCTTCATCAGAATCTCCACTCTCCCGGAACCTTGGATTTTTCTGCTGGTACAGCACGAACAGTTAAATACTGAAGCATGGCAACATAAACAGCCAAAGAAAAGCAGTGTACATAGTAATTGTTTTAATATCGTGTAACAACTAAAGATTCATTTTGTAAGATGGAAGTGCCGCATGCAAGCACGGTGTGGTGTCTTTTGTCAAAACTTAAGCACACAAAGATGACTAAGGGCATGTTTGGAATTGATATTGGAATAACTAGAACCACATCTATTTTAAAATTAACTCATTCAAAATCACTCTTGGTTGTATGAAAATCCCTTTTTAAAATTTAGAATCAATCGTTAAAACGACTATACAAAAACCACTTTCAAACATGTCCTAAGATGAAGCATCATTTAGAAATTACCGGTCTTGATTCATGATCAGGATTTCTTCTAGAGTCATAATCTGAAGTTCTCTTGGAGCTTTCATGAGCATGCCGATCATCATCTCGGTAGCGCTTACGATTGTGGTAATCTAGTTTTTTAAACAACAATAATGTAGTCTGATAATATCAAGAAACACCCGGAATGCAAATAAACTCCCATTCATCAGATAATTAAAATGCTTTAGAAATTTGATACCTCTTCCATGACGATGCCCATTTCCGTGGCTTCCACCATGTTTACCGTCTGCAGGAAAAAAAAAGAAAAAAAAAAGAAAAAAGAAAAACAGGAAAGTCAAGGCATATCAAATCAATAACGTTATGCATACTGTCCATACATAGGATTCCTCATAGCAACTCACACTGGGGTATGACTGACGGCATAGAGCCTAGTGAACCAGTACCGTAATCCACAAGCTGCCTCTGTGCTTCCAACTCTTTCTGAACTAACTTTCCATAGCCACCTCTACGTTCAATAAATTAAGGAAACTACAAAGAAATGTGAAACATGGGGTGCCAAAAAATGAACATTATCAGAAAAAATTTATATATGAATGAGCTATGATATTAAATTTAACAAAAGTTAAGGACGTTTGTCACATGCCAATTGAGGAACGACAAACTACACAGAAGGCACTCAGTAGCGCAACGGTAGTCAATGTTACACACTCAACAGACTAACTGATTTCCTTTTGAGTAGATGAAATATATTCTTTAGGGTTTCAGTATGGTTTGATGATGCCACAAAATTAATGCAAGTTAGCCATTCGCACTAATGGGTTATTGATCCCCACTGGGAATGTTTGGCTCCTAGTTGTAATCTAGGAGGCATGAACACTCTGTTTTAGGTAGAGTGTCTATGTCGTACTCAGACATGGACTTATCTAGACACAAACATGTGCCCAACAAGCTAAAAAAAAAGTCGTCAAATACATTTTTTCCAACTACAGACAGGACTGGGGCATGAATTTGGAGCAAAATTAAAGCCTAGTCCATCCAAGCACAACCTAACAAGTGAAGTGAAAAAAAAAAGTAAAAGAAAGGAAAAAGATGGATTCTATAACATATTCTAATTCTCATACTTTAGATCATTCCTAAAACATTAGGATCACATATTCTTCCTCTAGCCATGACCAACCAAATCGTTCTATATTGTTAATTGACACGAGTTTATATGTTTTTTGTGAAGTATATTTATTTCTACGGTAAACTTACATGTTTTTATCAATTATAAGGTATTAAATATATCAATACATACACATATATTCTATATGAAACAAACTGTCTCCAACATATCCATGTAATGGTTTTTTAGAAAATGACGTGTTGCTGTATCCTCGCTTTTGAGGTTGTAATCAATTTAATTTTATGAAACTTGGATTTGTGTAATTGTGTTTAGATTTTGCTAAAAAAACTGAGTTATATGAATCAACTGTGTATATTCTATTCCATATATATGTATCTATAAAAAAGAGAGAGGAGAACAAATGAATATTGAGTTGATAAATGGTACCCAAAAAAATGCAAAATATATCTATTTTTCAGTGCATCAGACAATGATTTCCATCATCTATATAGTGAGTAACAGTATTAAAAGAAAAAAAGGATATCAGGATCATAGTCTGTTCGATATTCATCACGCACCTGTGAACAACAAAGCAAAATGAAATAAACAGGAAGTGATTGTAGGACTCCAAGTCATGAATTTGACATAGATCAGAAACACTACCTGTCCACCACTTCGACCACGACCCCATTGCCTGCCATCCTGAAATCCCCAATCAAAATCCGCACGGATGGGCCGATCATCAAGAATTGTTCCACTTATATATTTTACAGCATCCTCGGTATCCTCCCGAGAATAGTATCTAACGAAGTGTAGATAAAATAAGCAACCATTTTAAAAGGATAGCCCCATAAATTGAAAGGCTTAAATGCAGACATATGTAAAACATTTCTTGCAAGAATGAGTACCAAAGGCATGAGATGAGCAAACAATCTCAAGGTTAAAATGGACCCAGATAGATCAAATAGCGATCATCCCCAACTGCCTTCAGTTATTCAAAATGATTTTGCACTGAGCAGGTGACAATCATGAAGATCAATATACATCTAGGTGCATATGAAGTGATATATATGAACAGAAGAAGGCAGTAGGCTGCATTAATGAACTACTGATAGAACTCAGGGTATCAAAGAAAAATCATTATAAAATTAAGTTGCAAGGACAGCAACACACATGAGTAGTTTCGAGAGACTAATCTCTCCCTCCCCGTCTCTCTTGCACAGAGGGCTATTAACAGCAGACAGTTTTGAGTAGCAACTACATAATTAAATAAGTTTATTAAATAATTCCAATGGCAGAACATAATTGTATGGTTGAATATTGATAAAATGCACATCAAGATATTCTACAAGTTAGGAAGAACTATGAAGTCTTACAGGGCAAAACAAAAGCCACAAGGTGTTTTTGAATTCTTATCCAAACCCATGATTATCTTCTTAATTTCTCCAGCTCGAGAAAAAAGCTCATAAACTTGCTCTTCTGTTGTATAAAAGGACATATTTCCCACGTAAACGGTGGTTGAAGTCTGAAGAGCCAGTTCAAATTCATCTTGTGTTCCCTGAAATCTTCTATCCCGGTATACAGATAGCTTTGATGGGTCCTACAAACGATCAAGTTGTAAGCAGGAAGCTTGTCTTAGATAGAATCATAGAAACATCACCTATCACCTAAACTACATACATGCGACATTATTCCTTTCAAACATTTGGTACTAAAATGAGTCTCGCAGCAAATAAAATAAATCGAAACAACAAATTTCCTTCATGCAGTTCATATAAACTAACTCTCAGACATGTCCGAATATAACTTGCAAAGACGTCTTTGACACACCCAAAAAACCTAATGGAGCGGAAAACGAATCAACCATGCAATAAAATATTAGGCATTAACCACAGGAAAAGTTCTTCGTTATCTAAAATGGAAATAGAAAAGCAATTTACCTTGAACAACGAAGCCATGAACCCTAGAAGAACAAAATCTGCAACAAAACTCGAAAAAACCACTTTAGCTGAAGTAGCTAGCAGACACTCAACGAACCAAAGGTTCAAAATGAAATCGTCTCTATCAGGTGTTGGGAATTTGGGCGATAATATAATCAGCCAATGCGAGAAACAAAAGGGGAAAAGGAAGAAGTAAAGCACAGATTAGAGCCGCTTCAAATCAAATTAGCAGGTAAATTTCGGGTTGGATTTAGCTTAAGAACTGGAGAACTCGTTCGGTGAGTTCAGTCGCCCAATTCTGCTCGTGCACTTCTTCCCCCGCGCTGCGTTAGCACTTTATTGTACTACAAAAATTGAATTATCCATAGATGAATAACCTTGATTTATTAATTCAATGTTTAATGTAAACTCTTAGGTTAAAATTTTAAAAAAAAAAAATTGTTAGAAAAATCATTTTTTATCCTAAACTAGTAAGATGGATTAAAATTGATAAGCTTATTAAATTTGAAATTAATTTCATGAATTAAAAATTTAGAGATTTAATTGGTAAAAATATAATAAATTTGAGGTTTAAACAGGAAAAGTGTAATTTTAGGGTGAAAAATGCCTTTTGTTTTCAAATTATAAACGAAATGAAACAAAAATTAAAACTGATTTATGCATTATTTACTAAAAGAAGGCCTCAATTTTAGAATTATTTCGAAAGTGCCCCTTTTAAAAGGATATTTCGAAATTACCCCGGCCGTGTAGAAAGTTGGAAACCCTTCACACTCAAAGTAGGGTTTTAGCTTTAACCCTCTGCAGCCAAGAAGCAAGAGTCGAGTTCTTGTTGTTGTTGATAGTCTGTACCAAGAACAGACTTTCAGAATCTATCATTTCTTCAGATTAACAATGGCTTCAATTGGTGCTAGATCTGTTTTCCGGTCATTTTCAGGCTCGGCACGCCGTGCTGCTGCTCAGATCGGTTCTCAAGCCAAGTTGTCATCAAGTACTCCCTTTCGCATGGCAACTACGAAGCCTCTCTCCCATCGAACTTTCAGGTGCGTTGCTTAATGCTTTTGCGTCCATTTGAAGTGCCAAAGATTCTGTATCTAGAGATCTTGGAGTTTCTTTTCTCCAAAAGGAGTCAACGAAAACGGTGTTCCATCTTCCAATTTATTTCTCTCAGTTTTTTAGTTGCGATACTAAGCTCTAGAACTTTGAAATGACAACAAGATAGCCTTTCTCCTTTACCTTGTTTTTAAATAACGAGCTTGGCAAAACGCTTCAATAAATTAGGTAATGTATTTTGCCTGAAGGTGTGCAGCTGAGATGAGCTTCTGTTTGGAGTCGATGATGCCATTTCACTCTGCATCGTCTTCAGCTTTGATGACCTCAATGCTCTCTGTCTCGCGCAGCAGCTGCGGTTGGCTTCCCGAAGGTGCGTAACTGATAATTGAACTCTGAAGTTTCTTGATCTGTCACGAGCTAGATAAAGAGGCAAGGACGTTAATATAAATTTGTATAGCTTGGAATTTAGATCATATCTATGATTTCAGAATGATTTCTTCCGTGGACAAGAAAGAAAGCTGATAATTTTCCGGAAGTTGATTTTATTTTCTATTTGCATTGGTTCTTCGTTGGATGAATCTCAGATTTATAATTATTTGCATGAATCAAGAAAGAGAGCAGTAGTTTGGGCGAGAATAATGGTCAACTATATTTATAACTAGTGATATCTATATTAAGGTTTAGGGATCATAATCTGATGTTTCTGGAGGATGAAAGATCTATGCTAGTAGTCTTTGATTAAAGTAGTCATGTCTATGAACCATCAGACGGCACTCCATGAAAAGTTTTCTTTTTGGGTTAAATTTAGTACTGATACGGATTATTATGCCAAGATACCTGATCCAACTTCGTAATTTTCTTGATTTTTTGTTTTGAAAGGAGAAGTGGATCTGCTTCTAGGTTGTCTAACTAGATTTTTTACTCTTGAATTAGGCAGCTAGCACACTTTATAGGCCCATTGATGTTCTTCTTGCCTTCTTGTTGCTCTGGTGAGTTGGTGCCTGTAAACTAATATAGGACTGAAAATTGAACGGAATAATATTTAACATGCATGCACAACAACTCGATCATTTTCCCCCTAGTAGACAGTTTATTACACCAAGTAGATGATCTTCAAATTAGGATGCAAACAAGCCTAACAAACAATAATGATTCATTCTCTCTTTCCCCCACCTTCCATCACCATACATCGATTAGAGTTTAAGTCCTTTTGCTGAACTCGGGTGTTATAAACCTTCTCTTGATTATTTTATATGTTTACTAGAACGAGTCATTTATGCAAAAACCTTCCATTTCTTATTCAAATTGTTAATTAAAAAAATACATTCCCCTGTTTTGAATGTAGGCAAAGACAAGACTAGATGAGGATCGAGAAGCAGGAAGGAATGACTTGACTTGTTTTTTGAGTTTCGCCTATAAGTCCTAGCGATGAATATCCCCATGCCCTACCCCCAAGACAAAGAATAGAAAGAAGAAAACAAACTTCTAGGAGATGATCCTATCAATAGGTTAAATGAGATGATTGTATTTGGAATGAAATAATGAACTACGATATTCTATTTCATGCACTGTGTTTGTAGATGGCTGTCTTGTGAAGTGTTGAAAGATTACATGTTCAATTTAGTTCTGCAATTATATTGGATTACAGACTACTCGATTGTTGCAGAATAAATTTCTGTTTTGCAATATTTACTTTGTTTGTCATGTATTTGGCACTGTTGATTTGTTGTTATCTTCCCAATTCCACTACTTTAATGAGGAGTTTGCGATTTAAATACACCTTTTTTTTTTCCAACTTATTTTAAGGATGATTGGTGAATTTTTAATGTCTGCAACCTCCCAATTTGTTTCTTGTTTTGATTGGAATATCAAACTGACATTAATAACACATTGATCACTTGTGTTCATCAGCATGCAATGATGATCTATGATAAATGGCAAAAGAATCTGAGGAAGTTCTCAATCCAATCCTCTACAAGGACAGTGATTTCTATTGAGGGTGGTTTGTGAAGAGGAGCTTCCGATCAATAAGCAATGGTTGATTGTTGTTTGACGACAGGTCTAAACTTTTAGTGCTAAAAATGTTCATCATATTCTTCTACTTACTCATGTACTGTTAACATTTGTATGTGATCATATTAACATTTGTATTTTGCCGGAAGCTTCTACAAAAGTGACTTGAAACCTATGCGATAAGGATGGCATGGTTGAATATGAGCATCTTGAATTTTGATTAAGATATCAATGCAAACTGCTGGTAAGAAATACTTTTGAATTTTGATCAATTCAAGGATCTAAGGGTGTGACACCCTTATAAGAAATAATTCATTCTCCTTTTCAATTGATGTAGGATCTCACATCGATAAATTTTGGATTTACATCCCACTTAAATTGAAAAATAAGATAAATGGTCTTTATCAATGGTCGTACCCGGCAGGGAGAAATTACATGGTTCAAACAAGATTCAAAAGAGGAGGATGAGGCACCTAATTCCTCCTTGAACCATTAATCTAATAGAAACGTTAGCATTTACATAATTTACATGTACATAAAGAAATCTATAAGAAGCGGTTTAAGGGGTGGCTTGGAACCTCACCCATCAAATAAGCCCGTATAGAGATTTAGAGTGCTTTCTTCCTTGCCTGAATTTTGCAGAAAATTAGAGGACTATCACGTCCTCTACCTAAACAAGTTGTGGATGATCAGGACTACGTCCCTCTGTCCACAAAACATCGCTGCACACCATAATTCTCGAATTTGAGCTGATTAGTTCAGCGTTTTGGAACATGAAACCATGTTTGATGGGCAGTGGGAAACCCTTCCTGAAATACGAGTTTGCATTTGGCAACAACGTAGTTTCGACCAGAGTTTGCACGACTGGCTGCAAATTTGCAACGTTGAGGGATAATAAGTCGACTTGAAATAGACACAGGACAACTTTCTTTTAGAATGTTCTTCATTCAGAAGGATAAATGGAATAGTAATCTACCTGAATTAGGTCCATATGCAGATTGCCAATATTGCTCCACTTCAACGACATCTCAAAATCGTTCAAATCGATGCTGCCCACAAGGTTGTTCCCTGAGATTTTAGCCGTACTGGAGGCATGAACTAACTGAAATGCAAAGTGGAAGAAGGTTGAATCTTGATGATGCATTCATATCATGGTTTTCCAGTTCTGAGCCAGTAAACTTACCAATGAGATGCACGCAACTGGAATTAGTTCACCAGCTTCTACTACGTCAACTATTATGTCTACGTCCACGGTTGCAAAAATCGGGTGCTCTGAAATCCTTATGACTGGTGGAGAAGGTAAAGTGATATTCAAGCTCATGTCAGCATTAGGATATTTCTTGTACAGTTGGGGAACAATAAATCTCCATCCAGCAGTATTTAGAAGCGGCTGGTTGGGCACTTCCTTCAAACTCCACTGCATAAAGTCTGCCTGCACATGAACGAAGATTTTGGTTGGATAAAACAACCGGATGGTAGGTGTAGCCAAGTAATACCATCGTGAGATCCCACATCGGTTGGAGAGGAGAAAGAAACATTCCTTATAAGGGTGTGAAAACCCCTCCCCCTAGTAGACGCTTCCTAAAAACCTTGAGAGGAAAGTCAAAATGGAAACCCCAAAGAGGACAATATCGGCTAGCGGTGGAATTGGACCACTACAAATAGTATCAAAGCCAGGCACCGAGTGGTGTGCCATTGTCAGATCCCACAACGGTTGGAGAGAAGAATGAAGAATTCCTTATAAGGGTGTGAAAACCTCTCCCTAGTAGACATTTCCTAAAAACCTTGAGAGGAAACCCAAAATGAAAACCCCAAAGAAGACAATATCGTCTCGCGGTGGAATTTGCCACTACAAATGGTATCATAGCCAGGCACCGAGCGGTGTGCCAGCAAGTACGCTGGCCCCCAAAGGGGGTGGATTGTGAGATCCCACATCGATCAGTTGGAGAGAAGAACAAAGCATTCCTTATAAGGGTGCAAAAACTTCTCCCTAGTAGATGCGTTCTAAAAACTTTGAGGGGAAACCCAAAAGAAAAAGGCCAAGACAATATTTGCTAGCGATGAGATTAGACCATTACAAATGGTATCAGAGCCAGACACCGAGTAGTGTGCCAGCAAGGATGTTGGGCCCCCAAGGGGGTGGATTGTGAGATCCCACATAGGTCAGTTGGAGTGGAGAACGAAGCATTCCTTATAAGGGTGTGGAAACCTCTTCCTAGTAGACGCATTTTAAAAACTTTGAGGGAAAACCTAAATGAGAAAGCTCAAAGAGTATAATATCTGCTGGGGTACAAAGGGAGTAAAAAAGATAAAATACACATAATAAAATTTGAACTTACATCGTAGTATAGGGCCAAGGCAGAGTTAAATACTGCTTCATCTAGTGTTATTCCAAACATTTTAGAAGGATCTTTACAGGAAGGTGAAGGTGAAGGTGAATTTTCAAAGTGATACTCAGGCATTGGTAGCTTTTCTCCAGCCCTAAACAGCCCGTTGATCTTTATACCAAAGGAGGAGCTGCTAAGCAAGGGTTCTCCCGCAAGAGTAGTATCAAAAGAAGCATTATCGTTCACTTTGACTTCCTTAGGAAGTGTTTGCAAAAACGAATCGACCTTCAAGATTCCTTCTCCTAGTTTCTTACAAATCGCCTTTTCAACAGCAGAACTTATCTGTTCTTCAAATGCATCCACCAGCCTATTATATAACACAATAGAAGATAAGAACAAGCAGGAAAAAAGTGCAGGTCGTATTCAAAGGCATTGTTATCCTATAATTTGGCACTGAAGTAAGGATGCTAGGCCTCGAAGGGTAGATTGGAGGGTCTCACATCGATTGGAGAAGAGAACGAGTGCCAGCGAGGACACTTGGCCCCAAAGGAAAGTGGACGGTGAGAACCCACATCGGTTAAGGAGGAGAACGAAACATTTTTTATAAGGGTGTGGAAACCTCCCCTAATAGACGCATTTTAAAAACCTCAATGAAAAGTTTAAAGAGATTCCATCTTAAAAGCCATGTAAATGCATCTGTATGGCTATTCTGAGCATACAGCTGACTGTCATCATAGCTAACATGTCTAGATCAACCTTGCTGAAAGACAAGGCTAAGGGGAGGATCAAGACATGAAATGCTGGCGATGTAAACAATTGATCATGAGGAAAAATGAAGAACAATTAGAACACAATACTGACAAACTCAAAATTCCCAGAACAAGAGTTACATACCCTTGATGGGTTCCTCTAAAATCATGAAAGAGTTACATACCCTTGATAAAGCCAAGATGCTCCTCCATCCAACTTTATAGACATATCTTGGACAGAACAACCGCATTCCAGAAGAAATAGTTTAAGAGTTTCTTCTTGAAGCTCCAATCCTAAATTCAGTCGAACTTCCATGCCATCGACCTGTCTCGAGAGTAATTTTATCTCATCAACTAATTAATGAATAAACAGACAGATGTAGATGAACTGAATACTGACATCATTCAAAACCAAAGAGACATGTACCTGAACAGAAGCACGTCCTTTGTCAGAAATCTCTGCTGGAACAAGCCAAGTACTATAGGAATAAAGCCAATCCATGCTTAAGTCACAGGTAGTTCCTGAAGCAATAATAGAAACACCCGACTCACCCGGTTTGATATCCGAGGAAGGAACATCAACTCGGTATATGGTAGTGTTGGATAGCCTCATAAGAACGTTTCCAACAAATGGGATTTTGACTTTTTTTTCGGATTCAGGCAAATTAATCGGAACCACAGAAGAAATTGCCTTGTCTATGAGCAAGTCTTTGAGGAAATCAATACCCTTTTGGGATATGACCGCAGACATGAAGGATTGGGTCGGTGAAGGATGAGCATATCCGGGGATGAGCGAAGACACCAAGAGAAGCAAGAAAAGCATTGGAGACATGAAGAGTTCGAGGACGGGGAAGCTGGACGGAAGGCAAGAAATCAATTGGCAAACCAGAAAATCAGATGAAAAGCCAACGAGAGCAGAATGGAAACTTGAGGAAGTACTGAAGGGTGAACTTTCTTTTAGCAAAATATAAACTTTAGGGGTATTTTTATTTATTCGGCCTATTTATATATTATTGTTTTGTTGCTGGATTGGGCCTGAGATTTTCAACTTGACAAGAACAGCAATTTTGTTGACCGACCCAATACCTTTCGGGTTGGATTCGGGCATCTCCGTATACAAAAACGCAACCTAGGGCTGCCATTCGTCCGGTTTTGCCTTTATTTCCACCGGCTTCTGCTTCTCATTCTCTTCTTTGCTAAAGGTAATCCAATGCTATTTCATTCCTGATATTAGTTATGGTTAATTACACAGTATGTTTGTTCAGATTTTCTGATTTGTTTTGTGCGGCCGGTCCTGTTCTTACTCGGATTTTCTCGAAACTCAATCGTTTTTTCTGATAATCGTTTCTGGGGTTGGGGTTATGTGATACGTTGATGCGTTAGGTGTACTCTTCTCTGCGATTGATAAGTATCATGTTTACTATGATCGTTGATTTTAGATTATAGATTTCATCTCTTGTATCGATTGATCTTTTATGATTCTAAGTGAGTTTTTTTTGTTATCTTAAAAGTTTAGTCACCCAACAAAAATCTAATGTTTTGAAGGCATGGTTATATGAGCATGGATGTTAAGAATTTACGAATTCCTAACTCGTGCAATGCTTTATGCCCTCTATGATAGTTGCCGGTTGTGATACTTCGCGAGCCGTTGATTGCCGCCCACGGGCGTTCCTTCTTTGTGCTATTCGATTCAGGCCAAACCTTATCTTTCCGCCATGTCGTCCAAGCAAGGTACTGTGTATTTCCCTAAGGTTATGGACAATTTGAGCTTTCTATTTCATTTTCATCGTGTATAGGATAGTATCATCGGTCGGATTCGAAGACAACTGATTTAAATTGTGACATGGAGAGTCAATTGTGTGGTATGTATGTCTTTATAGGAGGGAAAGCAAAGCCTTTGAAGCAACCCAAGGTTGACAAGAAAGAATATGATGAGGTATACTTTGATTTTATTACGTTATGGATCTATGCCGCACATCTATATTCTTTCTGGTTCGAAATATCAGTTTGGTCTTTGTAAGTCGGGTTCATTCCACTTTTCCCCATGTATTCTCAATAGACGTAATTCAGATCAATAGTAAGTGATTACCTTATACAACGTAGTGTCCAGCATTATACTTGTATGATTGAGCTACTAGACCATTGTGGTGGCTTGAAGGAAGCTTGCAACTCCACAATGGAAATGAGAGTGAGATAGATGTTGTGTAGTTGCCTGCTTCACTCGTGTCGCAATGTGGAAACGGTGGGTTAGCATTAGAATAGCTATCTAACCTCGAACTTGATGATGGCGGGAACTATGTGATTCTATCGAACATGTACACACAAGGAGGTATATGAGAAGGAGTTGCAAGGCTTAGAGCTCTCATTATGGATAGAGGGCTAAACAAAAGCATTGTTTGTAGTTGGATAGAGATGAGAAACAAAGTCCATGCTCCCTTGTAGAAGATGCATCTCATTTCTAGTCGAAAGAAGGTGGCTATAGGCCAGGCCGCCAATTGGGTAAATTTTCTACGGTGTTGAAGATAATGCAAAGGTTCATATGGTGTGTAGTTGCATTGTCTTCATCGCTTTTGGACTCACGAGCACATCTGTGTGAACCAGGCCCTCGATACCAAGTACCTTCGAGTTTATGAGGATAACCATGTTGTTATCAAGTTCATACGAAGTTCATGGAGATGAAAATGAAGATTCGATATCTATAATTTTGAAACAAAATGATGAAAAGATGTGAAGAAACTGTGTTTAGTAGTGAGGTAAGCAAGCAAGGGAATATGAATTTGAGTGGATTTTTGTGATGAACAGGTTGATCTGGCGAATATGCAAAAGAAGAAGGACGAGGAAAAGGTGAGACACCTCGAACTTTGAGCATGAAACTGTCCCACAACTCTCTTGTGGCCCATGGGTAGCTATAATTTTGAGTTGTTTAATGGAATTACAGGCGCTGAGAGAGCTCAAAGCGAAGGCCCAACAGAAGGGTGCCTTTGGAGGTGCTGGGCTGAAGAAGAGTGGGAAGAAATGATGAAACTTCCCACGCCATATATAATATTATGAAAACTGAATAATGTAAGAGTTGAATGCTTTCTTCTTCTCTTCTCTTCTCTTCTCTTCTCTTCTGTTATGTGTAAAAACCTGGAAGACCAGAATGAAATATGAATGAATGATTATTGAAGTTCGAGTGCTTTTCAATGTTCGTCCCCATTCGAGTTACGTTAGGAGGCCTTTCCCTTTTGCTAGATCTAGTGAGATACTACGAGTCTTCTGTCCCAAATTCCATCGTAACCATCTTTAAATCATTAAAAAATGACATTAGGATATGTAAATGTTTTGTGTATATTTATATACTAACTCAGCGGTTCAACTACAGTTTGTCACGTGACGAACCTAAGTACTAGTTGAAAATATTTTGATCGAAAAAATAATTTTCTTTATAAATGAGATAAAATAAAATGTTTTCTTTTTTATTTTATTTTATTTTATATATATGGTTGTAAATATTATTGGTACGGTCTAATCTAAACTATTATTAGAGATAGGGTGGTCATGGTTGTTTAATTTGAGGGATGAATTAGTAAATATTAATTTGTTATTTCAAGGACATTTTTGACAATACGAGTAGCAATTAGGGTATAAATGTAAATTTATCCATTGTTTTGATGCTGGGCTGGGCCTGAGTTGACAGTTCACCGGCCCAAGACGTTTCGGTCTGATTCGGGGCACCGACTCTAACCTTCTCCCTATAAATAGCGAAAAACGCCTCCTAGGGCTCTCGTTCTTGCGTGTTCGCCTTGATTTCCACAAGCTTCTGCTCCTGCCTCTGCTTCGCCTTCGCCTTCTCTTCTTTGGTAAAGGTTGGCATATATTGTTTTTGGAGCTATTTTTCTTGATTTCTTATATTTGTTAAGGTTATCATCAGCTTTGTGGTCGATATTTGTTTCTATGTTGGGTGGCTGTTTAATTTTTGTATTGAATTTGCTGGATGTATTAAGTTTTTATGATGACTGTTTCTGGGAGGATTATCTGATAAGCTGATGCTTTATGTGTACTCCTTTCCAATGCAATTGAAAAGGATTCGTGCTTTCTATTAGATAGAGATCGTTGATTTTAGTTTCTAAGTTTTCTATTTTGTTTATCGATGAACTCGTTTACGATTCCAGTTGCGTCGTTTTTACTCGCTCTGATTCTAGGAAGGGTAATGATTTTGTGGTTCAACTCTTTTAGCTATTTAATGGTTTTATAATACGCTCTTCTTTTTTTTCCATCGTATCTTTGTTTCACTTGTGGTGAGCGCTTGAGGGTCGACTTCAATTTTCTAGATTAGGGCTTATGGTCTTAAGTGGCCAATATTAACATTTATAATTGCAGCTGCAACTGGCAAGTGATCATTGTTTGTATTTTTCATGTTCTGTATGACTAGCAGCAAGATGAATGCGTGAGATTATTGTGTATAACTTGATTATATTTAGAGCGCAAGGTTTGAATTATGCGAGTAACTTTTTATGTTATTGGTATCACAATTGCTCATATTGCACTTCTATGTATGACGAAAAGAAACAGCGAACATGCCAAAGAACAAGGGAAAGGGAGGAAAGAACAGGAAGAGAGGAAAGAACGAAGCAGATGATGAGAAGCGCGAGCTTGTGTTCAAGGAAGATGGTCAGGAGTATGCACAAGTTCTCAGAATGTTGGGGAACGGTCGGTGCGAGGCAATGTGCATCGACGGGTCAAAGCGTCTTTGCCATATCCGAGGGAAGATGCACAAGAAGGTCTGGATTGCAGCTGGTGATATAATACTCGTTGGTCTTCGCGACTATCAGGATGATAAAGCTGATGTTATCCTCAAGTACATGCCTGATGAAGCAAGGCTATTGAAGGCATATGGGGAGCTTCCTGAGAACACCCGCCTCAATGAGGGTATCGCTGGAGGTATCGACGATGAGGATGATGGCGGGGTTGATGATTATCTGGAGTTTGAGGATGAAGATATTGATAAGATTTAGGGTTCGAGTGATTATTGATGTTTCGTAACCCCCATGGTTGGAGGTGTGAGCTATTTCGGCAGTCTTAGATAAAAATTGTGCATAAATTTTGAGTAAAGATTTTTCTTTTTCTGGTTCGTCTCCCCTGTTCCTTTTTATAATTAGACTATAAACATCTATGGCTGGTTGGAGAAAATAATATTTATGGCATTTTTAGCTTTTAGTTTGCATTTGTTATTTCAAGATTTTATACCTTCTCTCCTTTTATTGGTTTATTAATTTAATTTTTTTTAAAAATTAATTAATTTGTATCACTAGGAAAATTAATATAAAAAACTTCACGTCTTCGTATGAAAGTCTTAATATTTGAAGTAATTAGGAAAAGCCAACACCAAGGATTGAAGTATCCTAGAATTTTAGGAACAATTGGATGTCTTTCTTTAATAGGAATAGAAGTGGATATGGGCGCATTGAACCCGACACCTTCTTATAAATCATTTAGTTTTGTGGAGGGGAGAATAAATCATTATTTATAGGAATAGTAGTGAGTTTGGGTCGTTATAAATGGTATTAGAGCCAGGTTATCGGATGACGTGGAGATATGAACCAAAAGACATCAATCATACAATATGCTTAAATGAAGATGTGAAGAAAATATTATTGAAATTATCAAAATATATTTCAATTCATGCCACATTGAAAAAGAATGAAGTTTCATGTTCTAAATTTTGGGTGGATTACATCAGAATAATTTAGAGTTATTGTATTTCATTCATATATTTTTAAAACTTTCAATTTGTTACAATTACATCGGTTAATTTTAGCTATTAACTATGAATGTTATAAATTCTTGGAATAGTTTTAGTAGTTTATTTTGAGGCTATATAAAGCCATGTTATCTATGTTGTATTTATTGGGAAACTTGGAAAATGTAGAATCATTCAAACTCGACATGATCAATCTTGCTTGTGGAGTAATTCAAATCTCAAACAAGTGTTCTTGCGTTGAATATTTGATCAACAAGAATCATTCAAGCTAGACATGATCGATCTTGCTTGTGGAGTGATTCGAATCTCAAATAATGTTCTTGACTTGAGATATTCGATCAACAAGGTAATCTAAATCTACTCTCCTTGTAGTGATTCCTTATCTTATCAGGCGGTGTGTCAGCAAAAGATGCTGAGTCTCAAAGGGAATAAATTGGGTTTCTCACATCGATTGAAAAAGGGAACAAGTGCGAGTAAGTATGCTGGTCTGAAGAGAGTGGATTGTGAAGTCTCATAAGAGTATGCTAGAATTCGAAGAGGTGGATTGTGAAATTTTAGAAGAGTGGATTTTAAACCTATGTCGACTGGGGGGAGGGAGTAGATGGTGAAATCTTATAACAAATGTAAAGGATTTATTAGAGTGGTTGACACATTTGTAAGGAAAAGTCAAATTTGATGGTGCAGTGGGCATTTGCAGGCATAACACGAAGGAAAAGAAAAGCTGGAAGTTCCGAGTCAAACTTGTCGAACCAAAACAAAGAAGAAAAAAAAAAATAGAAGAAACACTTGGCAAAACCAGGCAGCCTTGATTTGCCATCTGGCAGTAAATGAACCCCCAACATAGCCCAAACCCATACACGTAGGTCTAACCTTCTGGCCATAGCCCAGGTTCTTGTAATCAAACGAAAGCCGATAAGCCTTTGACCGAAGGCACTGCAATCAACCAAAACATTCATAACATATCCATCCCTGTTTCCCACCATATAAATACACCCCCATCTTGTTCCAAGATTACACCATCTTTTCTTTTTCTTTCGGAACTGAAGAATACAATGAAGTCCAAAGCTGTTGTGGTTGCGTGTCTGTTGCTGTTCTTGTTGGTCTCTATCTCTGTTTCTGCGTCGGCAGTGTCCGAAGGAAGCCAACAGCAGCCTGACAAAGCTGAAGGTATTGTAATTAATTGCGCCAATAATGATCAAATAAATTTAAATCTATAAGTATTATTGATAATTGGTTGTTGGGTTGTGAATTAATTAACGTAGGAGCAAATGCAAATACCGTGGAAGAGTCAAAGCTACACTGCTACCACGGATGCTGCAAACGGTATGGGTATCGCTGCGTGAAATGCTGCGGTAGCGCTGCAGAAGCGCAGGCCAATACCAATGCCAACACCAATGGTGAGGCGCATCAGGAGCGTGCAGAAGTCGAAGCAGCCGCGCATAGATGGGGAGGCCACGGCGGATGGCGAGGTGGAGGCGGACATAGAGGCGGACGGGGCGGCGGTGGAGGTGGGAAGTGATTAGTGTGTGTGTGTGTGTAAGTGTGGTGGTACAAAGAATAAGGTAGGAGGGAAGGAAAATGAATAAATAATTAAGAATGAAGGGTCATAGTGCCCTACAATAGAAGGGTTAGATCCCTTCACTGCTACGCTACTCTTACATGTGAAATATATATATATATATATATTATGTCTTTCGTGTTACACATTGCTAGATCTACTAGATTTACTAGCCGTGGATTTAAACGATTACCAACAGTATTAGAGTTTCGAGTTAGAAACTGTGTTTCAACCATCAAAGGACCCCAGAATAAACGGTTACCAACTGTGTTTCCATTTTTAAAAGTTTTTATATGAATATTATGTTAAGGATGAAAGTCTCACGGGAGCTAATAATCATGACTTTATAAGTGATGAATACTAACTCTATTGGTATGGGGCGTTTTTAGGAAAGCCCAAAGTGAAGTCATGAAAGCTTATGTTCAAAGTGGACAAATATCATACTAGTGGAGAGTTGTTGTGTTCGTCTAACATGGTATCAAAATCATGCCCTAAATTTAATCGTGCGAATAGATTGGTAAATGGTAAATTCTCAAATGTCAAACAAATTGTTCGAGGGGAGGTATTGGATGATGAAAGTCTCACATCGGTTAATTTAGGGAATGATCATGGGTTTAAAGGAGTCGAGCCTCGATTAAAGGGAGACGTGCTTTGTTCGAGGGGAGGTGTTGGATGATGAAAGTCCAAATCCGGCTAGAAAGAGGTTTTCATACCATTATAAAAAAAATGTTTTGTTCTCATCTCTAACTGACGTGGGATCTCTCAATCTACTCCATTTTCGGAGCCCAGCATTCTCTTTGGCACTCGATTCGACTTTAGAGTATAACCTTCCTCTATTAGTCATGATACAAATGATATTAGAGTCAAACATCGGGTGATGTGCCAGCAAGGACACTGAGTCTTAGAAGGGGGCGAATTGTGAGATCTCACATCGATTAGAGAGAGGAATGAGTGGTAGCGAGAACGCTGGGGTCTGGAAGGGGTGGATTGAGAGATTTCACATGAGTTAGAGAGGGGAACAAAATATTTTTTTACAAGAGTGTGGAAATCTCTCCCTCCCTAGCAGATAGCATTTTAAAAACTTTGAGAAAAAGCCAGAGAATGAAAGTTAAAAGAATAACAATATCTACTAGCAGTGTGGTTCGGAGACATGTCATTTAGTCAATGTTTGTGTTAGCTAAATAGAGCAGCATGGTTGGATCTTTGGTGTCTAAAATGTCCCCATTTGTGATTTATTAGTACACAAGAAAATAGGCATTTGTTTGTCTGTCTGTCTGTTTGTTGTTACGAGGAAGGAGGAAGACAAGGTGAGCAGCCCCAAGGCGTGGAACAAGAAGGCCACTCCTACCCTCTCCCTGCTTTTGTTTTCGCCCCAAATTTTATAATATAACTTGAACACAAAAGCATTTTCAAAACACCACCAACACCAAACCCTCCCCCTCCTCCCCCTCATCTTCTTCTTCTTCTTCTTGGGAATATGAAGAGGAAAAGGAAGCGTTCCTTCAGGCTCCCATTTCAACACTTCTTCCTCCCACATCAACACTGTTGACCCACTTTCTCGCAGCGGCGGCGTACATGGGAAGGCCAGGCATTTCTTTTTACTTCCATTTCATCGTACTTTTCCTTTCTACTTCATTCCTGTCTTCTCTCTTCTTCTGCAACATATATACACACACACACATCTTACTTGTTTTGTTGTTAAGCAAACATTTTATGAGTATTACTCAAAGTTCTTCCCATTGCGTATCCTAGATCTTCTTCTAATAGTTGGTACAAAGTCTTATCTATACTCATTTAAGGAATGATCATGATTTTATAAGTAATGGATACGGAACATGTAAATTAATGTGGGCATTGGACATTGCAGTGCGTGTTGGGAGGGAAGGTTTAGCATGCAAATTAATGATCTTAATTATTATTATTATTATTATTATTATTATTAGGAAGAAATATATATATCTAAACTTATTATGGAGATTGGCGTAGGCGATGATTATTAAGTAGCAATAAAACTTAGAATTATATTTATTAGTTTATATAATATAACATTTATATTGGGAATCGGATGAAGACTTTGAATCCTCAATTACAACAACACCCTCGTGTGTGTGTGTGTATATATAATATTTAAATTTCTTTCTCCATTGTTTTATTTATTCGAGGTACGTAAGTTGCATTTTACCATGATCTACTGTTTTTTTTTTAACCTTTTTGTATGTGTTTTTCAATTATTAGATTAAATATGGATGTTACTCTAAATGTCATCTAATACACATTTTTCTTAGATTATACTGATTAAACACTAATTTATGCAAAATGTAAGTATTAAATGCAATAATTATTATTTGGCAAAAATGGGAATATTTAATGGATAATGTTGTAATTTTGAAAAATGTTTAATGATGTATGGAAAATTGTATATGGTCATGTTATATTATATATTGTTTTGTTTTATTTTATTAAGGGTAGGTGAATATCATACTTAATTAAAAGTAGAATTAAATCTCCTTATTTCCAGGATCTAAATTTATGTTCCCGATAAAATCCCCACCCTCCATGGGTCCAAACGGATAAAATGAGGACGTGACTTGTCCATAAATGTCAATTGAGATGGCGACTTTAGTTCTGCCCCCACTACTTCATCAAGATTATGTTAAGCTTTGTAGCTAAGAAATGAAAAGGGTAGCCATCTCGATGTGATCAAATCTTGTCTCCTTAATCTAATATTTTTCTTTTTAAAATTATCATAAAATTAAAACTTATATTCAAAATGAATAATTAATTATCATCTAATATAGACATTTTAAAAGTATATTCAAAATTAATGAATCGTTATACATTTTTTTCTTTATAATTTTATCTCTATTATTTTACAACCAGAGAGGAAATATATATATATATATATATATATTACCCAAGAAGTCCTCGCAAGAAGCAAAAAAATAAATACTATTTTATTGGTATCAAAATGTTATAAGCTTAAATATAGCACATAAGTAAATTACTGAATTATCCCTCCCTCCGTTGCGTTGAAATAATATTGTTTATGATACAAATATTACACTTTTAGGTTGCACCAACTAATTTAATTAATTGGAGTTAATAAATAACAAAAGAAAATATTATTGAAACATTCATTAATTTCGCTCCTCTGTATAAAATATCTTTAAAAAGTAAATATGAAAATTTTACAATTATGATTTAATTTAAAATTTTAAACCTCTTAGATAAATCAACGATATAATCTTATTCTATATTGAAATATTCCAATTAGAATTTTATATTTTACAGGCTGTTACATCGTCAATGAAACTATATTTAAAAAAAAAAAATTATTAAAAGTGAAATTAGAAGGGACAAGTATGGGGGAAATATTCATTCATTGATCAGAAATATCCACAACGATCGTAATATATTTGAACATAAATAAAATAAATAAATAATGTGTTGCAAGTACAAGCATAAAAATGGAAACTCAGAAACTTGTGCAAGCTTCTTCAATGCCTGATGTCTGCTAGCACTTTTATGGTTCTTGATCATACACAGGCCGACCAAAACAGTTCAATCGGAGAGAGAGGACTTTCATTCAATCGATCTATAAGAGAAACACTGAAGAAAGAACAGATGTAAAACAAGTAATCATTGAACATCAATGAATTTGGTTATATTTTGGGAATTTGATGCTGTTATTTAACTCCAGTCTCCTTAAGTAGGCGAGAAGAAGCTGATGACAACACATAATTTCTGAGTTTTTTCAGACTACATACCCACTTTGTAACAGGAACGAGTATAGTTAAACTCAAAACAACAGAATAAATATACAAAGAGCAATTAACAGTTCACCGAAGAACTAAATGTTACAACTTTCTAAATTGAAACCTCTGCAAAATCCATATAACTCAAATAAATGTTGGTTCACCAAGTAGGTTCTCCCTGAAGCAGGGTCTTGGCTACACAACATCTCAGATAAGTTGGAATAAGTCTTCATGGGCTTCAAATCAAATTAAAAAAATTTACTGGTTCAACAAAGAAAAAGAACAAACCCATTGTGACCTCAGTTGAATCCATTAAAATCTTATGAACATAGTTTCACCAAGTAGGTTCTCCCTGAAACAGGGGCTTGGCTCCACAACGTCTCAGACAAGATGGATTAAGTCATCATTGGCAAAATTAACCCTTCAAATTTGGATCAATGGTTAACCTCCAGACAACTAAATTCGACTGTGGAAAAAGTAAACAATTAAATTTAGAACAAGGGTAGCCAACAGAAAGCTAAATCCGAACTGCCATTGAAAAAAAGGGCAGCATGTACGATAACTGCATTCTAAAAACATGGAATTAAGTATTAACTTTGAGGGTGTCGAAAGCTCAGATAATTTGTAACAGCTTTATCGATCATCAAATTCTGAAGCAGAACTGGCGTTATAAGCTGAAGTAAAATCCTCACAGCTAGACTTGAAACCAATAAATTAAAAATAACAGTCATCAAAATAATGATAGAAGAAGATGGCTCATATTAAGAAATTCAACCATTAATTTTAAGTTTGCTTCATCGTTAAACCTCGGAAGCGCGGATAAGTATAAAATCATCGCCAAAGACTTCTATATTACTAAAATTCAGAAAATTGGATAAAAATCGGGATTTAGAATATCTATAGCGGAAGTTTTTAGACGCACAAACATTGAACGGAAAGACCCCCACGTGAACACCGCCGAGGACTAAAATTCGGCCTCTATGACTAGCTTCATTTCCATATTCATAATCTGCAGAAACAAGCTAAAGGTAAAGTGAGGCCACCCCAAAAAGAATATCTAAACAGATGTAAAAAAAAAAAAAACGAAGATGCAACATTATTTTGTATCGCTATAACCAGGATAAAGGAATCTCGCCATTATTTTGACACAGATCAGCCGTGGAAAAGAGCAAGGCCAACCTGCAACACTAAACGGCAACACTCTAGCACGAGCAATGGGGCTATCAACTTCACGTAGAACATCAGAGAAGCCCGGGGTGCATCGTGCAAGTGATAATTGAATCGAAATCAATGAAAAACAATAACAAAAACAAAAAGACCTTATGCTGGTTCACATCCCCAGCTCCACGATAAACCCTAGATCATCCTCGTCCCGGGCGCAGACTTATTCGATGATTTAAGGGACTTCGCGTTAGTTTATATAGGCTACGAAAGCCCTAGCTACTCGGATATCTCCAATTTTTCACTTGGGCTATGGCCCAATAGAACGCCCGGCCCGTGATCACTTCCAATAATAATTTTAAATTAAAAAAAAAATCTAAAAATATATATTTAGTTTTGGATACATATTAAAAAACTTTTAATAATGTTTTTAAAATACTCTTTAATTATATAAAAATATTAATATTCTTCAATATAAAAAAATTAAAAAATATATTTATTATTAGTATTACATTTTAAAAAATATTGGTTAAATTTTAAAAGTAGTATTACCATTATTTACTTAATAAGTAAATTTTATTTTTATTAATTTAGTCATTATTAAAAAGAATTAAAATTTGATATATTTTTATTAATTTAATTTGTGAGAGAAGCGTGTACTGTCGGGTGAGGGGTTAGAAACGAATGAAACCAGAGAACCCCAACAAAATATGGAGGCAATTAAAAATTCAACTCCACACCACAGCTTCCTTCCTCGCTTTCCAGTGATCGATCGCAAGCAAAAATGGAGTTATTCTAACCGAACCTTAACCCTATCTCCATCTCCATCTCCCTAATTCATACATTCACCGCCTCCACTTCGGGATCTGAAATACCCACCTTCAGTTTTTCAACTCCGGAACTGATCTGATTCAGTTCATTGCTCCAATTCTTTTCCCCCATTCAAGTCAAAACTGTGTTTCGCTCACGATCGGAAATCCAGCCAGAGAATGAGGCGGAGGCCCCCGGATTTCCGAAGGCCTGCCAGGAGAAGATTATCCAACGCCTTTTGGTGGACTCTGTGTTTTGTTGCGGTTTTGCTTTTCGTCTTCATTCTCAGTAAAGGGAGTCAGATTGAGTCCAGGCCTGTCTTAATAAAGGTAAAGATCTGTTTCTCTTTCTATCTTTCTCCCCCGATTTTGCTTATGTTTCTGGAGGAAATTGTGGGATGGGATTCAACTAGAATGTCGATTGCCGGTCCTGAATTTATTATTATCAGCTACCTTGTGTAGGTCATGGATTTGTGTTGATGTTGTGCTAATTTGACAAATAGAACTGCCATCTACGATCTAGCTTTGCGTCGTGTGACATCTTTTTGCTTTTCCTTCCTGATCTGTTTTGAAGTAACTTTATATTTGATCTTCCGTCTCTGATCATCTGGCTTTGGAGCTAGTTTGTCTCTTGGGACACTGGAAAAATGGCTGGTGAAACTTAGTACTAGGTGATAGAAACCAATTCAAGAACAGTAAATTAGAATTTGAAGTAATTTGAGGAGCTTGTGTGCCCCCCACTCAAACAAGTTCAAGCAAGAAAAACAACCATGTAATTGCTTTACTTTCTGTGCCCCAAATTACTTCCTCTCAATACTTACATGGTCCATACTTCAATGGGGCATCTTGAGTTTTAGAATGATTTGCTTTCCATTGAGTAATGTCTGATCTTCCCATTGTCTATAAGCATTGGCTAAGTTAGGCTTTCGAATCGTTACTGTCTTAGTGCTACATCGACAACAATTTGCTGAATTTGATGTTTTCTGCACCATTATGTAGAGATCATATAGACATGAAAGAATTATGGAAGGCCTCAACATTACTGAAGAAATGTTGAACCCCAGCTCTATTGCCCGGCAAATAAGTGACCAAATTTCTCTAGCAAAAGCATTCGTTGTGATTGCAAAAGAGAGCAGCAATCTTCAGTTTGCTTGGGAATTAAGTGCCCAGATCCGGAATTCACAGATCCTCCTCTCAAATGCTGCAACAAGGAGAGCACCTCTGAGGATTACAGAAGCAGAAACTGCAATACGGGACATGGCACTGTTGCTCTACCAAGCCCAGCAACTTCATTACGATAGTGCAGCCATGATCATGAGACTGAAAGCTAAAATCCAGACTCTTGATGAGAACGTGAGCTCTGTCAGTGAAAAAAGTTCAAAATATGGACAAATTGCTGCCGAGGAAGTCCCCAAAAGTTTGTACTGCCTTGGCGTTCGCTTGACCACTGAATGGTTCAGAAACTTAAATGTACAGAGGAAGTTTAATGAAAAGAGGCAAATAGATACGAAACTTAAAGACAATGATCTCTACCATTTCTGTGTTTTCTCTGATAACATCCTGGCCACTTCAGTTGTTGTCAACTCGACTGCTTTGAATTCAAAAAATCCTGATAAGATTGTTTTCCATCTCATAACTGATGAGGTCAATTATGCAGCAATGAAGGCCTGGTTTTCAATGAACAAATTTAGAAGGGTGACTGTTGATGTTCAAAAGTTTGAGGATTTTAGCTGGTTAAATGCTTCCTATGTCCCAGTACTCAAGCAACTTCAAGACTCAGATACTCAGAACTATTATTTTTCAGGTAATGGCGGTGACAGTCGGACTCCCATCAAGTTTCGGAATCCAAAATATCTTTCAATGCTCAACCATCTCAGGTTTTATATTCCAGAAGTTTTTCCTGCTCTTAAAAAAGTTGTGTTTCTTGATGATGATATTGTGGTCCAGAAAGATCTTTCTGATCTTTTCAGCATTAATTTGAATGGTAATGTAAATGGAGCTGTGGAGACATGCATGGAGACCTTTCACAGATATCATAAGTACTTGAACTACTCCCACCCACTTATCAGGGAACATTTCGATCCCGATGCGTGCGGATGGGCATTCGGGATGAATGTCTTCGACTTAGTAGAGTGGAGGAAGAGAAATGTTACGGGCATCTACCATTATTGGCAGGAAAAGAATGTAGACCGGACACTATGGAAACTTGGTACGCTGCCGCCTGGACTGCTTACATTCTATGGATTGACAGAACCATTGGACCCCTCATGGCATGTGTTAGGATTGGGCTACACAAATATCGATCCTAAGGTGATTGAGAAGGGGGCTGTGCTTCATTTTAATGGTAACTCGAAGCCATGGTTGAAGATTGGGATAGAGAAGTACAAACCCCTTTGGGAGAAATACGTTGATTATACTCATCCTCTATTGCAAAGCTGCAACTTCCATTGATTATATGAACATACATTTGTTTTCCACAGGGAAGATTGTTGTTTAAGGACATCAGAAATTTTTTAGGACATCGAGCCACAGGCGTGCCATTTTAACGCAAAATCAAGTATGGCACGTTGCTGTAACGTGAATGTTCGAGTATTCAGTTTCCTGTTGTAGCACAGATCCTTGATAATAGATAATTGCTTCTGTCCTTCCTTGTAGGTTAGAGTGAACAACAGCAGAAGACCACTTTTCTAGTGCCATTAGCAGCAATTGTTCCTCTCTATGTATCAGTAGCACTCACAACTCCCAGGGATGGGCATCCTAACTTATTTGAATTTGGAAGTTTAGTTCTTGGGAGGTTTACACTTCCTGTTGTTATGAATTGGTGGATGCATTTTCAATTCCCTTCCTGAAATTTGGCTGTTTCTTCTCACTTTCACCTCGTTTCTCCTGCATGATTTCGGGTTGCTTTTTGCTCATTTTCTTTACCATAGTTTTCACGTTTCTTCGAGAAACGTTTGAATATATTAGATCGAATCCAGAACACATAAACATGTTCTTAAAACAGCGAAGCTTGTAATATGCATTATACATCTTTAATTGAAGCCAACGATGACTTTGCACTCAAGCTAAGAGCCGTCGGTTGATTCAAGAAATGAATCCAAAAAATGGCTTAATTGGAGAAAGCAGAAAATTAAGCAAAGTGGTAAGTAGAGAGGTTAATTGAAGTGTTGGTGACTTCCACCATGAAAATTGAAAGAGCTTACCCTAACTTAGGTCTCAATTAAGTTAACTTCAAAATCTTTCATCTTTTATAACACTAATGTGAGATACTATAACGGTCGGAGTTAGTGTGAAAATCTCTCCATAATAGAGGTATTTTCAAACCGTGAGATTAACAACAATACATAACATAACAGGCTAAATCGGACAATGAGCTTGAGTTATTACAAATTGTATCAAAACTAAACATTCCTAAGTGTGTGAAAATCTCTCCATACTAGACGTATATTAAAACTGTGAGGTTGACAACAATACATAACCGGTTAAAACAGACAATAAGCTTGAGTTATTACATATGGTATCAAAACTAAACATCGAGTGGTGTGCCATCGAGAATGAAACATTCCTTTATAAGTGTGTGAAAATCTCTCCATAATAGACGTATTTAAAAACTGTGAGGTTGACAACAATACATAACAAGTTAAAACGGACAATATCTATTAACAATGAGTTTGAGTTATTACAAATGATATCAAAACTAAACATCGAGTGGTGTACCAGCCAGAACACTGGGACCACAAAGGGTAGATTGTGAGATACGACATTGGTTTATCTAAATTTTTTACCTTAATTTATGTCTATGGAATGTCGTGCCAATTGTCATAATATAGTTTTGAAATAATTTATAAGTTTAATTATAAAAAATAAAAAAAATAAGAACATCAAAGTTTATAATGTCACGGTCTGAATTATAAAGAAATGTGAATGAAAAAAAGCTCTCATACTAATAACATATATTAATTATGTTCATGTAGATGACAGGTGGCGCACACCCAGTTAGTCCACTGAGGCAGTCGAGGAGCCGGCGGAGTAAAAAAATGATACCGGAAAATCCATCTCCGAATAAATTCAAATTTCTAACCGTCTCCGTTTCGTTGCGATCTCCTCTCATGGCGATTCAACCTTCTTTTTTGTCTTTTGACGGAATCCTCAAGGAACAGAAAACGATTTATCCGATTTTGTTAAGTGATCTTTCCTCCCTAACTAACTCCTCCCTTTTCTCCTCCTCCATTCTTCTCAACAACAACAACACACAAGCTTCACAAATCCCCCATTTTACTTCCGATGAACAATGTCAATGAACCACTCGTTTCCGATCAGCTTCACAGACCCAGAAGACCCAAATCTCGTGAAGTACGTTCAAGATTTCTCTCGCCGGCCTCTGCCACTGACACTACCGCACCCTCGTCCTC